ACGTCGTGACGTATAACATATAACGCCATGACCTTTAAAAATGTAGGCCTACACCCTCTGCTTAGACTCTATTAGAATACAGCATAAAAATGAAAACAGCCAAAAACACCGAACTTGTGAATATGACGGAAAGCAGACCACGCTGTCGGATACGGATACTATTTTCATTGCGTTAGGTGAGCTGTAGGCCTATAATAAACCCGGCCATGGCCATTACCAGCTTATTTGGTTTAAATTATTTAGTTGGACAGCCTTTCTGTTGACACGGACGCCTATATCGCATCGCAAGCTATTCGTCCTTTATGTCAATGAAAAAAGTAGACATACAACAGCCTTTGATAAGTAATAGGGATTCTTACGGCTTAGAACCTTCAAACTATGCAGTAGGCCTGCACCGGTAAGCAGAAGTTTTTGGCTAAATTTACGTTAAAGAAATGGTAATAGGCCTATGCTCAATAAAAACGTAATAATAATAGATCCCACAGCGTCAAATTGACAGTAAAATGTTTTTTTCTCGGTGATCTTGCTATATTTTACATTGTAAAGGACTGCTGAGGACTGCAGAACAGCAAAATCTCGTGATCCAGTCGTTTTCAGCTCCTTACGCGTTTTGCAGCATAGCACCGATTCATTTAAATGAATGCTATTTATAATAAGAATAAATATTCTGTTATTTTACTAACTAATCAGCCCTGACCCCTACATCAGTAAGAAAAATGAAATGTCTAAAATGTCCATGCTCGCTCATAACTGTTTATTCTAATATGAAACTATCGGCCGACGTAGATTATCATTGTAATTGCATTCAACGAAAGCCCCTTCGGAGTTGGATCAATCTACTTGGACTGATAATTAAAATGGGACTGAGTCCATATAGTGTAAAAGTTTCACTCTGAAAATGAAAAAATGTAGCCAAATTTAAATAAGGCTCTCTTATGCTGTTGTCGTTACATAATGAAAACAAATATTAGTACTTTGTAATTGGAAAAAAAATCAATTGCTTTTTTTCCGACTGAAAAAAAAAAAGGTTTGATAATCACGGCATCAGTGTCGCGGTTAACCTAAAGGAAGGGGACCCTATATTCGTTTTTCGAATCAAACGAATTTCAATCTGTGCCAACAGTAGGCTGTTTGTTGTTTTTAAGACTTCACGAACAATAAAAAGTAGGCCCCCCCTACAGGGCCGGGCCTATCTGTATCGAGCTGATGACGGAACTCTTACTTAAACCATTTATTGATTATTGAGTTTCTCAATCACAGTTGGTTCTGTATTATATGTCCTGATGCCTTACATGTAGCGTGTATACCCAGTACACTATTGGTGAGAAAATCTCTCTAGCAGGATAGGACTATCTTTAGGCCCTTACTCCAAGTTGATGATGACCTTCATGTTTCAAAGATAAGAATCAAAAGCCATTGGTAGAAAAAGCACGGAAAATCGAATAGTTGTGAAACGGAAAACGATGTCTACATATACATGCTGACATGTGTATTAAAATGAACACGTACCTCTCTGGGATATATAAAAAGGCGCGAATTGCTGCTTTTGGTGTGAAATACGTTCCATTGGGCAGTTGTTGTGGTTGGTTGCTGCTGTCCTTAGAGACAACCGTTACCAAACGTCATAGTGATTGACGTCGACGTCAGTGACGTGGTAGTGTTTTGTTTTGCCAGCGGTACAAAGATAGGCCTATTTCTTAAATTTTCAAATTTCTATTCGCATCAGCATGAAAATTTTTCTTTGCCTTCTATGTCTTTTCTTTTTTCTACTCTTCCTTCAGCTGCGTCCCAAGAAGCGTAAAGAAGAATGGAGACTGAAAGAGGCCGCTGTAACTGTGTTGTAATTTTTATCTACAACGTTTGCTTTTTATTTCATTGTCAACCGTCTATATAGGCCTATTTACACCAGTCATATATTTTAGATAGATATGCGTTAAGTCACCATTGTCTTTCTACGATTGCCTTCACTACATCCGTTATATGGACTCAACGCTCAAGTAAAACTTTTTAACGACCGACGCTTTCTTGACATTGCGGGATATGGTCACATTAAAGCCGATTACAAGATTATGTGATCTTTTTTTTCACCTCGTAAACATTTTTTCATAAATTGACGAGGGACCAACTTACCACGGGATCCAACTATCCCCGATCTTCCCTACGTCAGAGGTACGTTTAAGTATTGTATGTGACATCGATTATACGCACAACTTGAGCGCACATTTATGTGAAGGCATCACCACCAGATTTATTGCACAGTCAGTAGGCCTATCAACCTCTCACCTAAAATTAGCCATACCTGTTGTAATTTGCATAACAATATGTTGCTCACCAAAGTGCGAGCTGTTTTTTCGAATGCTCACGGGTGTAGACGCAACAGTACGTGTGGTGCAGTCACAAGATCGAGCTTTTATGCAGCGCATGTATAGAAGCAAATACGTGTTTGTGAGTATCACACCGCCATTAAATACTAAAGTCGCACAGGAATGAAGGAATATTTAGGACAAATAATTATCACATACATGTAGGCCCTAAGTCCTTGTGCTACAATTCGCAGCGTTACTTGTCTGTCACTCAGAATGGAAGAATTATTGGTTACAATGAATCGGGACTTCAAATGTACGGGATGAACGGCACTCTCACCCGACTTTTGATGATTACTTAAGTTTGCTTTGTACTTATTAGTATTGTTTGAATAATTTGTGTGCCCTTGACAGTTGCTTTCGGATATTTTGATTTAATTTAAAATGGCGTGTGTGTGTTTAAAAGTAAGTATTACCACCAAGATCACTGATTGATTAGATGATGCTTGTCACACTCCTGAGCTTCTGATATTCAAAGATAAGTTTGTGCCGTCAACTTGTATATCAAGTCCATAGGAAAATCCTATGGTCAAATTTTATTAACAACACATAGGTCTTTTTTATTTATTTTACTTTAAATAGGCAGTATTTGTAATTTTTTTTATTATTTAAGGTTTTATTATATATGATGTTTATAGCACTGTTAGTTTTTTTTTGTTTTTTTTTTTCGGTACTAGCTGAGCCAGTGCCAATAACCACGCAGGCCACTTCAATTAAAAGTACCCGCTTCTCTCTAATTCTACATGCATTATTTGTATATGTAAAAAGTCTATCCGTTTATTCTGAAGTTGTAATCATTTTTTTTTTTCTTTTCAGATCGCTCGATCAAACAACATGAACCTGCAAGCAATCTACGGTGCCCAGACTTTGTTTTACGCCCAGGGACCCCATGCCCATTCGTGCATCTATAATATATAAAAACTGAATAGGTACTTCTGCAATCCGGTGTTTTTTTTTCATTTTGTCATGAAATAATGATGATAAATATAGTAGTAATAATTGGAAATAAATAACATTATTTCACGTTTGATGACTTTCAGATTCAATTTGCTAAATCTAATCTGTAAATTATGTCTCAATATTTTTGTGATTGATGTTTTTTTTATGTTACCTACAGTTATCTGAAAGTGAAATAGTTGTAAACGTATTTTGCAAATAATGGAATAATGGAAGTTATTTTCAGACACTAAAAGGAAATATCGAAAATAACATTTATATATTAAATTTATATCAGTTTAATAACCTGCTTTTTAAAAAATCAAATTAATGTGTTTTTTTTCTATAACAAAATTCGACTAATTCTTTTGTCGCTCTGGATATAATTTTCCTATATTTCTTAACAGAGGACAGATCCATTTGACGGGTCAGTTTCTAAACGATGTACAATGAGTGCACACATTAAAATGGACAAATTTATGTACTTTTAATATACAAAAAAAAAAGAAAAAAGAAAGAAAAAAAACCAAGGAAAATCAAATTCAAAGGTGGTTTGACATACGGGCATAAAACATTAGTGAAGAAACTGCACGAAAATCTATTTAATGACATTTGTTGTAATTGACACTGGTGAGACTTTTCTGACTTTTGTCGGAATTCCGACTTTTTAGGGTCATTCTTGTGAATCGTGTACCCTGAACCCCCGGCCAATTTTCCTACTTTTTAAGTGAGGTCTCATCCCTGAATTAAGTTGTTGGCCTTGTTTTAAAAGGGAACTGCTATATATATATATATATATATATATATATATATATATATATATATATATATATATATATATATATATATATATATATATATATATATATATATACAGTAGGCCTATATATATTTGCCTATATGATCCGTATACTGGTTATTCAGTTGTTATTAGTTTTTATAGAAAACCTGCTTACAAAGAAAAAAATGGCGAAGTTTGTTTCATGTTAGCATCATTGGCGATCTATATAAACTACCAGTACTATATAGGCCTAGTACATGTAGGCCTAATAGCAGGCCTCATTGGAATATGATATCTAACCGTAGGTCTATTCACTGCGTATTACATGAGCAAATATCGGATAAATGTATAAAATACAAGATCAGGCATTCAGAATACATAAACGTATAGTGTTTGCGACAAAAAGACAAAACGAGACTGGTTTATGTGAGAATGTATAGCGTCCAAACTAAGCTGATGTACGGAAATGGCGTACTGTGTAGGCCTACTGGTTTTTAAGTAATCGACTGAAATGAATTGCTACATTTTAGATGCAGGGATACACCCTTACATGCTAACAATGACAGGAAAAAACTGAATATTTTTACTATAACTTTTTATTGATTATAAATTACGTAGTGTTCTCTATAAATACAAATACTGGTGTTAAGTCGGACTTGCGTAATTTGCTTTTATATTTTTTGAACTTCAAACTATTTTCCACATAATTTGTTCAAGATCAAATCTCATAGCACAGTAAATTTATTTCTAACATGAGAATATATATTAATTTATATATATTTATTAGTTTAATAGTTTTGATATTCTTCCGTTTCTGACACCCATCACATTTTCATTATTTTACTCAATTCAAGCGGCAGCCTGATTACTCCCGTTGCAGTCTCACTCAAACAGGAAATGGATTGTTGGTAATAATAAACTTGAGCGAGTGCTAGCTGTTTCCCATTTCACGTTTACACTGGACAACGTTGTTCTCAACCTGCTTTCTCGCTTTACTTTACCCTGGTACTTTATCGAAAATTGTGTCTGTCGTTTTGAAATATGGATCAAAGCAGGACCACAGGTAATGCTGTAAAGCAAATGGGTTACGATTTATTAATGCATCTTTAGCATCTTTCACTCTCTCTCGATCATCTCTCTCTCTCTCTCTCTCTTTCTCACATGATGAAGGGTGGGAGATGGGATGGGTACAAAACCTTAAGTATAACATATTTAATCAGTAACCATTTTACACAAATCATGGGGTCCAAGTGTTTAGATACAATAACCTATCTGAGCATGCTCATGGTGTTATCATGTCAGGAGTTGGGTATAATTTCCCCAATTTTTCTGGATTTCCATCATTTAAATTGTAATGGAACAATTTATAATATATTTGATTTAGAATTTTAACATACTACAGTATTTTTTATTGTTTATCATAGGTGACAAAAAAGCTCGAACTTTTGACTTTATGTCAATGTTTGAAGAAACCAGGAAAAATGCAGTGGAGCGAAGCAAGAAAACTTTAGGTAATTAAAATTTGATATAACTTTATTTACCTGAAACTATCAAGATGAGAGCAAAAGCTATTTAGACTAGAAATACAGACATTTTGTTGACTGTCAGACATTGAAATTTGGCTAATGCTGGTAGGCAGTTGGCATGTCATACAATGAGACCAAGCATTACAGCACTAACATCCATGTAAAACTTTGCAAATCTTCAGGCCTGTTGCATTTCCTCTTGCAAATTCGTAAAAAGGACTTTTACCATGCAAATAATGTCTGTTGTATCTTTGCATGAATCAGAATACTTTTTACTAAACCCTCTGCAATACATTTAGTTGCTCTTCAGCTTGCAGATGTGCAGCAAAATTCTATGAGAATCTGAAGTTGAGATGATATTTAAGGGGAATTTTTTTTCATGAAGAAGAAAGAGAAAACTCCCAAGGCCAATCTAGTCCAACTGCAAAGAAAGCACATGGTGAATCTACTCCAAGTGAAAAGGATATTAAAAGTGTTTCAGATTTGATAGGACCTCCTGTACCCAGTTCTACCAGCAAAAATGATGAAGAAGGTATATGTATGTCTTTAACATTTAAAAAAAATGCATTTTTTGCAAAGATTTTATGTCTAATTTTTTTATTGTTAATTGCGTTTCTTGACATTTGCCATATTAAGAACAACATTTTTACATTTTTAATTTTATTTTGACACTATAGAAACATATTAAGTTTGTATTATAGGAATATATATTTGATATTTTTTAAAGATTTGATAGGACCTCCTCTACCACCATCATTTTTGACTTCGAACAGGGATGACACAACAAAAAAGAAAAACAAAGAAAGTAATGATGATGAGGAGGAGGAGGAGGACTCTGAGGAGGAGGAAGAAGAAGTTAGTACTTACTTTTCTATACTGTTGGCTCATGTACCATGACTGTAAATTGAATTTTGTTAAGAACCATTTTCTAGTTAATCTCTTCGCAGTGGTCCATCCTTCACTTCAGTACAATTGTATCTTTATTAAATTTAATGAAACTTACAATTTATTGTATGCTACATTCATATAATGATTCTTTGTTTTCTGATAAAGCATTTTTAAATCACTGCCATGCAGAGATAATGCTTAATTCTTCACTTGAATATTATTTAGGCATTAGAAAAAAGAATACCAGCCTCACATGAGATAACATTAGAGCATGGGAGTAAAACAGTAAGTAAACATAATATCCATACAATCTGACAATAAACTTCTGATTCTTTTCTGGAAGTAATTTAAAAAATCAAAAACTTATTTTATTTTAAAATAGATGTTATTTCCAAACAGGTAACATCATCAAGAAGTCCAAATTTATTTATTACAATTTAATTATAGCCCAAACTTGTCAAATCCAACAAATATCTATTACCAATGAAATTTTTAAAAATTCATTTGGTATTGAAAAGTGGTGTATTTGCACTTTTAAATAACCACTTAAGTCAGAAGTACTTAATGCTTATTAAAGAAATACTACATTTTTCTAGGTGTCAGCTTTGGGTCTAGATCCCTCTGGAGCCAGACTAGTCACTGGGGGTTTTGACTATGATGTCAAATTCTGGGATTTCTCGGGAATGGACTCTTCACTTCAGTCGTTTAGAATGATCAGGCCATGTGAAAGGTATGACTATAGAAATTTTCACTTTTGAATCAGAATGTAAAATTTGCACTTTGATATGTATGAGAGATACACCAGAGAGACTGAGTTAAGCTGGTTTGGAATTTTTTCATTAGTTCTGAGCAAATGATTTATTTTTTAAAAAATTGTTAAAATTGGTGAAAATGTATCAGATATTTATAGAAAGGTACAGTAATGTCTATGCATTATTGCCATGTTTTCACTTCTGTACTCAAAAAAGATTATCTTCAGTGTATGGTTGAAATATTCCACAAAAGTTTAAGTGTATTAGGTTATCAGTAATTTTTTGAATGTGTACTGACCAAACATTATTTTGTCATGTTTCAGCCACCAGATCAAAGCCCTGGAGTACAGCACCACTGGTGACATGATCCTTGTGGTGTCAGGGAGTGCACAAGCCAAGCTCATTGACAGAGATGGATTTGAAGTAATGGAGTGCCCCAAGGGAGATCAGTACTTGGTGGACATGGCCAGCACAAGAGTAAGATAGAAAAAAATTATAGTAATAATGATAATTATAATAATGCTTACATGCTTCTTCAGGGTATTTCTGACAATATTTGAAACGTGAATGGCTTTCTTAATAATTTATTCAAACTTGATTTTTTTTTAATTTAGGGACATACTGCTATGTTGAATTGCGGTTGCTGGAATCCAAAGATAAAAGAAGAGTTTATGACATGTTCTTATGATGGGTAAGTCATGTTTTTATGACGCGTAGGATGAGGGATGCCCTCTCAACATAGGTATCAAATTTGTATAAGAAATGACCTAGCTGATTATCAGGAAATTTGCTATCTATTAACACAGTTAAGATATTACAGAGAAGTTTTTTCTCAGAAAATGGCACAGATTGAATAAAAAATAAAAAATCTAACAAATTCTTATATTGATGTTGGAAAGATTGCCTTAGATTACCATAGAGATATTTGATGAGTTTGATTGGTGCCCATTTGTGAGCATTTCTTTTTATTTTCTTTATTTTAATAAAAAACAAAATTAATAAGATAAGATTAACTCTTTTTCAGCTCAGTCAGATTATGGGACATAAATAATGACAAAAAGCACAAGAACATCATCAAGCCAAGGTCACAAGTTGGTCGAAAAGTTGTCCCCACATGTTGTGCATATAGTCCAGATGGCAAACTTATTGCTGCTGCGTGCCAGGATGGCTCCATTCAGATGTGGGATTATAAAAAATACATTGTACGCACTACTGCAGCTCTTGTGCAACTCTTTTGAAGCACAGTCGAGGACGTTTTTTTCTTTTTTTTTTTTTTTAGTGTAAACAGCAATTTTAATTTATATATTAAAATATGATAAATGGATTTGGTTGGTCTCCAAGTGAAATTTGCTAAGTCATCTAAGGTACACATTGATTTGCATGTATTTGAGTTGGTTTTACATTTTTAAATGTTGTAAATTTTCCTTGTAGGAAGTTCATTTGTACAAACTGTCATCAGAATTGTTATGAATGTCAGAAAAATGATATAGATTGATTATTAACACTTAATAGGTCAATGTGGCATTAATGAATAGGACAGCTCACCAGAATGGGACAGACACATCATGCATAAGATTCTCGTATGATGGGAGGGTACTGGCAACCAGAGGAGGTGAGAGAATTAGTGTTTTACTTTAATACTCTTCAAAATTGGTCATCTCAAAGAAATTAGTAGTTGTGTAGAAATGAATTGAAGGCAATACTGGGGGAGTATTGTTGTATACCATAAATGTTATAGATAGATACTTAAAATTTAAACATATCAGAGATTTATGTACAGCAAGAATATAGAGGTTGAAATACAAATCTTTTTCTGAAAAGTTACTGTTTTTTTTTTATTTTAGGTGATGACACTCTTAAACTATGGGACATCAGGAATTTTAAAAAACCACTTGTAGTGGCTAATGATTTGTTCAACTTATTTCCTATGTAAGTGATATTATTAAAGGACTGAGTGCAAGTGCAAGAAGTGCAACTGCACTATTGAAAATGTTTAAATACCCTTTAAAGAAGCATGGGACATTGAAATCCAACCAGTGCTGTTACTACTACTACTACTACTACACCTACTTTTACTGCTGCTGCTGCTCCTACAGTTGCAAACCCTACGCAACAACTTTGTGTACATTTTTGTAAATTTTCAGTCAAATAATTGATATAAAAATTTTAAGAAGTCAGTAAGTTATCTGACTACTGTTTTAAAATAATTTTTTTTAATTTGAGCATATAGAAGTGATATTATTAAAGGACTGAGTGCAAGTGCAAGAAGTGCAACTGCACTATTGAAAATGTTTAAATACCCTTTAAAGAAGCATGGGACATTGAAATCCAACCAGTGCTGTTACTACTACTACTACTACTACTACACCTACTTTTACTGCTGCTGCTGCTCCTACAGTTGCAAACCCTACGCAACTACTTTGTGTACATTTTTGTAAATTTTCAGTCAAATAATTGATATAAAAATTTTAAGAAGTCAGTAAGTTATCTGACTACTGTTTTAAAATAATTTTTTTTAATTTGAGCATATAGTTTTTAAAATGAAGTGTTTTTAATTCTTTTTCCAGGACTGACTGCATCTTCAGTCCAGATGATAAAATGGTGGTGACAGGAATATCACTGAATAAAAATGAAACTACTGGAAAACTGATTTTCTTTGAAAGAGAAACACTACAGAGGGTCACAGAAATGGAAATATCAAATTCTGTAAGCTAATTATGTCTTTTGTACAACAATATAGATGTAAAGACAGATTGATGAAATTAAGCTGTTGTGCCTGATGTAGGGGCTCATTCCTATTCTTTGTCAATAAAAGGGCACAGATGAGTCACCCATGTAAAAATTGTTTAATGTATAAATGTCAGCTTCCGTTTATATGTGATAGGAACAAATCTTATTTATTTTAGTCATGAGGATAAGAAAATATAGAATCCACTGAATAATAAACTGATGTTTCTTTATGCATATTACACTTGGAAAGCAGAATATTTTTGACATATTTTCTGATCAGACTGTTCGGGAAAAAGTTAAAGGAAAAATACATTTTCTCCATCTGATATCCTGATTAAGATATAGTCAATGGTTTCTAATTGCTTATTACAGAATGTAGTAAGGTGTTTATGGCATCCTAAGCTGAACCAGATAGTGGTTGGGTCAGGTGATGGAAAAGTCAAAATGTTATATGACCCAGATCGCAGTCAAAGGTAAATTTTGTTTTTAGATATCATCGCAACTGTGTCTTATTTTTTATGTCACCAAAGTTTATCCTTTGTGTAACTGCTTTTTAGGACATAGGTTTCAAATTGGGATTTCATTGGAATTTTTTTGTTTAACTGTTGCATTGTACTTCAATCCATTTTCATGATTAATCTGTTAATTTTGATTGTCTGTCCAAATTCCATTGCTGTTTTGTGTGAGGAACCTCTGTGTATATTCTACTATTTTGTTGTGACTTTTCAGAACTTACCTTGTTTAGAGTTAAAATTGCACAATTTAGTCCTATATTTACTGGTATATGGACCAAGGTGTATAAATTTTATTATTATTTCACAGGGGAGCTAAACTTTGTGTTGTGAAAACTAAGAGGAAAGTTCAGCAAGTGGAAGCAATGACAGCACAACGAATAATCACTCGTAAGTGGACTTTAGTTTATTTTCTTTGCAATTTTTGGTATTGGTAAAAAATAGTGACACTTTGTTATTTTAAATTGAATAATGATATCTCATTGACACATTTTAAGAAAAGGCATAGAATTTTTAGATAGTAGACAAAATCATGTGGTATCAGATTTTATCCCTATCCTATTCAGATCAGTTAACATCAGTGCATATTTGTTTATCTGTGTTGTTGAATTTGTTGTTTTTAAAAGACATAAGTATGTGAAAAATGCAACTTCATATATACACCATACTCGTGACATTTATCGTAAGACAACCATAATCATTTCTTGATTTAAATTAGTTTGTAGCCATATCTAACCACCTTTACGTACACCTTTTCAGCCTATGCATTGCCAATGTTCAAGGAGGAAAGGCAGAAGAGTACAAAGAAAATAACAGAGAAATCACGACAGGATCCAGTCAAGTCCAGGCGCCCAGATCTGCCAATAACAGGACCTGGTATTTTATTTTTTGCCCTTTTCTTTAACTTGACCTGTATTTTATACTGCAAAGTCTGTTGAACATGAGTGGATTTTAGACTCTAAATGAATGTTCATTGTTATTATTATTATTGTATTACTTTAAAACATTTATGTATTAATGAATTTGCTTATGCTGTGTATGTGTATTTGTAGAACAGTGTATCTGAAGTTGTAATTGAGTTTTTAGTTTAAANTGTCTGTTGTTCTTGGGAGCCATGCATCCACATGTAAGGTGAATGAAACCGTATGTTAGTTCAACTCAGAGGTGGATCCAGGATTTTTCGAAGGAGGTTCCACATATGCGAAGCTAGCCTCCTTTTAAATAAATATACCATTCTGGGTAATAAGAATATTGAAACTTTTTTTAATTGCGAGAATATATCTGACTAAATGATGATTTTATTATTAATGGAAATTAAGCTGCGATGTGTGGTACATATGCTGTAATTACACTGTCCTTCATCTCTTGCATTAGTCTACATTTAGCTGGGAATTTTAAAAATCTGTGCGTACAATTTTTAAAGGTCTGGTTACGCCCCTGCGGAAGTTGTAATTGAGTTTTTAGTTTAAAAAAAATTATCAGATTTTAATTTAAGAGTATGAAAATCAAAATTGACTCTCATCTTTAACCAAAACACTGCTGATTTTTTTGAATGAACATATTTATTGCTTAAAATATGTTGAAGAAAGATAAAGCTCATCATTCAACAGCTTTTAGCGCACAGAAACTTAGTCTCAATGTCAAATGAATACCACCATTCATTAAAGGGATAATAACTCTTCGTATGAGATCTATATTTCACAATAAAAACATTGTGAACAGCTCATAGAAATATAATACATATTCTGTATATTCTGTTGTACCACAAAAACTGAAGTTATAGCTATTATTCTGATGTCTGAGCTTGTCTTTAAACCACGTGACCTCCATTCATGGCCATACTCTGTTAAAATCTCTTAAGAGATTATAACAAAAAAGCAAACTTTTTAGAAAAAAAAACAGGGACTAACTTTGAATGTAAAAATGGATTCATTAACCATTGGTAAGTATTGGAAAATTGTTGTTTGCTCCAGGAAAATTAAATTTTTGGCCAAAATGAAGTTATTATCCCTTTAATTTTTTTCTACAGTCTCCAGTACTAGTGACACAGAATATTCAGCAGCTGTGTGTTTAAAAGATATTTTGTGGAATAGATCAATAACATGTGTTTTTGGTCATGATCTGAAGTTATGTTTTGCCATTTTAGGTTCTGGAGGCCGTCTTGCAGCTCATGGTTCAACATTGTCTCAGTATGTAGCTCAACAAATAGTCATCAGGAAACATGATGAGAGAGACAAGGACCCGAGGGCGGCCATTTTGAGGCATGCGGAGGATGCAGAGAAAAATCCTTATTGGGTCACTCCAGCATATTCTCAGTAAGGAATATGACTTTTTTCATGAGTGTAAAATTTATCATAAAGCATGTATAAAAAAACATAAAATAATTCAATTTTCCTGGAAATTTAAACACTTCTCCATTTAATCAGCAATGGTTGCCATAATCGAAGCCATTCGCAGAATAGCAGTCCTTGAGTCTGTCTTTGAGTTCTAAGTTTTTATAAATTTACATATTTTTTTGTTTAGTCACTTGAACTCAAATATATAAGCTCTTAATTTTCACAATTGTTTTGGTAAGGGTATACCTTGATGACAAAGGGAAAAATGGCTAGATTTTTTAAAATATTGCATTGATAAAACATTGCAGGTCTCAGCCACAAAACATACTCCACCATGCAGTTGAGGATGAAGAAGAACCAGAGGAAGAGGGACCAATGTGGAAAAAACCAAAGACAAAATGAAAAAACAAATCCAACAGCTTTTTCAATACATTTAGAAGGGCAGTCAAACACCATAAAGTTGTTTACAGGTTTTATGATGTATGGAGATAAAGCATTAAACAAGAACATGTAAACATGTCCACAGACTTGTCTAAAAGAATGGTTTTTTGATGAACAGAATTCATTGTGTTGTTCCAGCTCTTGGAATTTATTAAATCTGTGGACTTATGAGTAGCAGTGAAATATAAAAATTACCAGTTATACACCATGTTTCAAAAACAAGAAAGCTAGCCCGGTTTATAGTGAGTCACCGCTTGGCTAACCACCTTATTTATTTTGTATGGTTTAAGTTTTCATTTTCCTGCAAAGGTATATTAAGAAATGAGACAAGAGAAATATTTGTGACAGCAAAAATAAACTTCTATCAGGTTATTGAAAAAAAAAATTTTTTCAAATCAAAATGAAGAGATAAGCCAGTGCACTTAAAAAATTGTAAAATTAAAATGTTATTTTATCAGACATTGGTGCATCTCAACATGAATAAGTGTTGAATATCATACATATTCATTTAAAAATCTCAAAGAACTTTTTTGTAAGTTAATGCATCAAGTATTAGTCAGTATTTGGAGTCACACGTTACCAGGTGATGTGTGAATGTTGATGTAGATGATGCAAATGTTTTGGATGATATTTTTATAATCAATAAATTTGTACAGCAAAGTTTAATTAATTACTCAGTGATATTCTTCGGGTCTTTTTTCCCTCTAGGCAAATTAAATTTTTTTAATGTCTTCTCTTTTCATAAAATACAACTTCTTTGAGCTATGAATTATAGAAATAGAAATGAGATAAAAATGTCATAACACAAGGTTCAAGATATCATTATATTTCATATGCAGTTTATACATACAATACACACCAGTAATTACATTTAATAAAAAGTGTCAAATGAAAAATCATATACTGTATCACAATTCTGACTTATCAATTCTTATCAATATTTATGTTACAAAAAGATGTGCTTAACAATCATTTTATAACTTAATGAAACAACAATCCCTATAAACTAGGTCATTTCCATCAGCACAATAAAAAATACAGGTACTCAGAAGAAAAAACCCTGTATTGACCTAAAATATGTAAGATTGTTTTATTGTAGTTAGTCAACCATTTTTGAATGTGCACATAACTGCCATTCTTCATTAGAGTATAGACAAAATGTTCCATTTGTCCAAGAATAGAGTATATCAAGACCTCTTACTTCACTTATGTAATGTTTTTGTACATGTGTAACCTTTTTCATCTTTTCTCATTGTATCAATCATTTTTTGTGATATTACACTTATATAGGTGTTTTATACATAAACATCAGAGACCTCATGTTTTTTCAATTCAATGTTTAAGTCACTTTTCTTTGCCAAATTTTAACTCCATTATCAAGTTATTTAGCTGTCTTGAAAATGCCTGAAAGGAAAACTTTTCAATGACTCTAAGTTTACCTGCCCTTCCCATCTCCTCTTTAGCGTTAGGATTTTTCACAAAGTAAAGCATGGATTCAGAAAAGCTCTGTGGGGTGGGATCACACAAGAAGCCTGTTACTTTATCGTCAACTGTTTCTACAGGACCACCACTTCTCACTGCTATTACAGGACACTGCATGAACATTGCTTCTACTGGTACAATACCAAAATGTTCTTTATCAGGAGTGTATATCAGACTGGTTGCATTGCTAAGCAGTGATCTTTTTTCCGAATCACTGAAGGATCGAATAAATGAGACATGGGTCTGAACCCCAAGTTTTTCTGCTAGTTCCTTTAATTCCAAGTAATGTTCTTTGTTTTCTGTGACCCTTTCATCATAGCCACCAGCCATTATCAGGTGTATGCCATACAGAGGAATGCTCTCCTTGAGTTTTGCTGAAAAAAAAGAACAACTTAGTAAACATTCTTGTGACTGGTAAGAACAGTCTAAGAACAATTCATTACTTGATAAAACTAAAAATTACACAAAAACTTGTAACTTTTTTGCCCAGTGCTAAAATTCCATTCAAAGATGTCATATTCATTTAACATTATACTTCAATTCCAACTGAATGAATAATATGTCAAAATGTACCAAATACCAATGACAGAACAAACACCTGTTTATCAAACTGCTTAGATTAATTTAATCTTTAAAATAAACTGTAGCTTAACACAATGCTTGGTCAGATACCTACCCAGCCCTTCTATTGCAAGTCCTAGATTTTTCTTACGTTCATATCTGTTGATTGACAAAAACAGTGTCTTTGTTTCTTTGGGTGGGCAATGACTTTTAGGAAGAGGATCTACAGGTTTTCCCAGTGTTGAAAGATTTGGTATAGGGTACAGCACCTCAGGGTTGATATGCCCAAGAGTCTTGAATGTGTCCTTGAATACACCAGCTAGAATACAAATAACACATCAATAACATACATGTACCTGCTATGTGACTCTTGCACTACTTGATTTCTAGATGGAAATTAACCTGAAAGTTTAAAAATAATCTACCAAATACAAAATTTCAAAATTTGTAGTTTAAATTTAAATAATGCACATTACAAATATATCGACTGGAATGTTATATTTTGATTGCTCATTTACAAGAAAGTGATATTGTAAGAGTTTTAAGTATCACTTCAATGAGTGACACGATAAACTGTACCTGTAAATTTACTGTTAACTAATATACAATGCGCCATTCCTGTTGTCCACTCCTCAAGCCAATCTATTGGCCAGCGGTACAGTCTTTTAAACATATTTTGTCTCTGGGTGAGCAACAGATCGGGAAAATGGCAGTAAAATATAATTTTGACTCTGGAAATTCGTAAAAAGGGAATGCAAGCAGAAATCTGATCGCAGAAAATTATGTCTGGATTTATATCGCTGAAAAAGACAAGATATATTGCTGCGTAAATCATTCGAATATATGCGCACAGAGCGGCACATCGACCGAAGACATGTCTGGGTAACCAGTCTCCAACAGCTGTAATTTTCAGTTGGCCATCTCTGGTTTCTTCAAAGCAATGGCTTGGATCATGATGAGCAGTCACGAACTGGACAGAGTGACCGCTAGACTTCAATGCAAGCGCAGCATCAACGACAGCTCTTTCTGCGCCTCCAATCCCAAGATCAGGATGGATGAATACAACATTAAGCTGTCTGTCTTCAGTCATACTGCCTTTATTTTGGTACACTCCTCAGGAGGTCGAAATTAATGTCAGTTTCATCACTCTTGTACGAATGTGCAGCAAACGGAAGTGTGTGGAGGTGCGATGAATTCTGATCTTCATTTCATGAAGAGCTGAAATCACCTGTGCACAAATTATTGTATTGAATGTATTTTTCTTGATTATATATATCTGGTGCGTAATAAAGTGTTAACTTGCATATACAATGATAGTTTTATAATGATATTTTAAAATGAATATTTATCAGAATGGTGTAATGCTGCTTTTGTAACTGTACCGTAAATGCGCCGCATTACATCATTTTAATAATTAATTAAGGGGCCTGTCAAAATTCATGAAAACTACTAATAGGGCCTACTTTTTACTTCTTCTGCCGCACAATGTACAAATACAGTTGGATTGCACAGCGGGGGCAATGAAAAGCTTTGACACGCCCCGAATTATGCCTACTATAAAGAATAGGGGTATTTCCTCTGTGTTTTCAGTATCAAAATGAAGCAAGTTTTGCGATTGATTACCATTATGTGATTTATTCCTGTTTGGCCTCTCTTTAAACCTAAATATAGCTTGACAGTCCTTAGAACATAAATATAGCTTGACAGTCCACAAATGAACAAGTGAAAATTGTCTCTCGCTGATTATGTTGGTAGTGTGCTGTTCATAAAAACAACTAGAAAAGCACTCAGAGAGCGCAGACCTCCGCCAAGGCAGCAAAGTCTCCATCCAATGCCGTTTCACCCCTAAATTTTCGATATTTTTGATTATTGATTGATTATTGATCCGGATCACCACCAAAAACTAATCATCTCTTCCTTGGCCCACTTCCGACAGTTCCTGAAAATTTCCTCAAAATCGGTCCATAACTTAGTTTTTTATTATTGATTGATTATTGATCCGGATCACCACCAAAAACTAATAATCTCTTCCTTGGCCCACTTCTGACAGTTCCTGAAAATTTCATCAAAATCGGTCCATGAATTTGTAGATATGTTGATGACAGTCAAACAAACTGGGGTGAAAACATAACCTCCTTGGCGGAGGTAATTAAGGATAGGCTACTATAGTATGGGACCACGAGGCTCTAACAACTCAATAAGTACATAACAAATAAGAGATTACCTCCTGCAAATGTTTTAAGTCTTTGAAAAGCTTCCCACAAAGGTATTCTATCAAAGATTTTCTAATCGAACGTTCCCCGAAAAGTTAGCAATCTAGGGTAGACCGGGGCTAAACGCCCCCCTTAAGCAAGAAACATCACAATTTTTCCTGCTGAAGGTATAGACCGTTCAAAGTGGGTGTTAACTATGAAGGGCTGACTAGACTACAAACTGATACTAACACTTTTGGAAACAAACAAAAAAAAAACCTTATAGGTACAAAATAGGTAAATTATAAAATCGGCCTTTTTGCCCCATGGCTGGGGCATTACGCCTCGCACCACGGGGCTAAACGCCCACCGTGGGCGTCTTGCCCCAAACTATAGGCGTTATGCCCCGCCTTTGTACAAAGCAAAATCAAATCAAATCAAATTATATTTCTACGAGACAACTTAGTAAGCCTTTAAAAGCAACATATAATATTTTGGGGTACTGAGATAATAAAAATACCCATCAAATTTATTCAGAATGAGCTGTAATTCTACTCTTTACGACAGGGCACTGTGATACTTCCAAAATTAAGTTCCTAGTACAGCCACTTGCTTTGGCTTTTCCCCATATAAGTGTTATAACTGAGGATATACAATAAAAAAAATGCATGAAAGAACACTTCCGCATCTTTTTAGAATTGTTTTTTATTTAAGTGAGTGTCCACGAGAAAACCAAACCAAATGTAGAAAATGCGGCAAGGTGGGGGTGAACGGATTTACATCATATTTGGTGTGTTTGAACCTTTATATGAACAATATCTGAGACTACAATATTTCCTGAAAAAAATCCCTACTTACAGAGATATGGCCAGTGACAATTTGGGGGTATTATCAACCAAAAATTCTTCTGAAAAACAGGGTTATATTGATTGGCCTTAAAGTTTATACAGGTGTCACTAAATGATTTAGTTTGGTGATATATTATAACCTAAAGATAGGGGATTAAAATGATATACACTTTTTTCACTCTCTTCGTTTCCATGGTAACAAACCAAGCGTTTTTCTCAGGCTTACAAACCACATGCTTTTAACACCCCCCTTCTATTTTTGACAATATCTTCATCTTCACAGGTCTTTGGGGTAAAGCGTGTTCAGGACTAACAGATAACTCATTATTCTATNTTTTATACAATCTGACTTCATCGAAACTTGTATGGAGGTCTGATACCATCCTATCTGTCACCAACAAAGTTTTTTGAATTCGTGCATTTGGTAGGTGGTGTCACTGATGTTAAGGAAAAGGCTAAATAACAGTAAACAAGGCAAAAATGAACAAATTATCATAAAATGCTTATTTTTTAGTTTGTGGTCATCTCCGTCATGGAGGATAAGTCTGCTGGAAATCGGAAGTGGACAAAACATCACGAGACGCGTATTTATACGTAATACCTGAAAAAAGCGGGTTGGCGTTTGACCCCGACTGGGCGTTTAGCCCCGGTCTACCCCCATGTATTATTCTGCTCAAGAATTGATGCTCGATGCTATATATATAATGGCTGATACTGTGTTCAGTCACAAAAAAGAGACCAGTATAGTAGGGCCTAACATCAAACAGTGCTGGCATAAATATGCAACTAGTATATTTATGTTCATTGTTCAGTTGGTGTTAAATTCAAAAGCTTAACTTGGTCGTTTTTCATCAACTTTTACTTTTTAAATTCAAATTAATTGCACAGTGATTTGAAATTGGTAATGTAATTTTGTTCCATTTTTGAGAAAAAAATCTTGGAATACATTTTTAAAGAAAATGTATTGCACGCGTTTTTTATGATCTGACTAAGCAGGGGACATTTTATGTTTTATTTCTTTTAAATAAAAGGCATTCTGACGAAAACGATATGAATTGACCTAAAGAAAGAAAAAAGACGAAGTCTGTGGTCAATTATATTTAATTTTTTTTTTTTATTTCTTTGTAATTTAAATAAGACACTTTGATACAAGATGTCAATAAGAAAAACACTGGCTATTTTTTCGAGGCTCGTTTAATTCTCATCCAGTATAGACCTTCCTATTCTTTCCATGGAGACAAATCAAGTCCTGGCAACGCATTACAGTCCACATATGGATTGCTAAAAACAATAAAAATATATCAGCCCATACATAAACAAATTCATTTAATTCAATAAGAAAAATTATAAAAGTTATTGTCCAGATGCATTTTTCAAGTCGTGTCATATACATATGCGTAAGTTAAACAGGTAAATATAAGTTAAGTATTTTAACCAGTTTTACAACAGTCTTCAAAATACTGCCTTTCAATAAATACATGGTGATCATCTACTAATGACATTGAAATGGAGGGGGCAGAATTTCAAGATATTAAATAAATACCAAGATGTGCAAATGCCTATACAAACCTTTCACCAACGGCTTTCAAAGCCTGTTTTTGCACCTGTGTGATGCCAGTATTTTCACACATCACTTTGGAAAGCAGGACACCTTTGATGCTCAACAGCTGATCTAAATCAGTAAAACAAACTTTGAGCTTAGTGAAACTATATCAAAATTACAATCTAACATGGCATTGTGCTCATTATACTGTCATTTGCAACTGAATAAAATCATAGTTCAAAAACAGTGTTTTTTCACAAACCCGTGACCAACACGTCGATATATAGGCTTGTAGTATACGCCCGGGTTTTCAAAGATGTACTATGTTATTTTTCAGTGCGCTGACATTTTTGAGGGCTCATAGTCCAAAGGTACACTTCGAGTATTAATGTTGCATGTATATACCAAAAATCTTAATTTTCTGAGGATTTCAACCCGTGTCCCTTAATCAATAGGGTATACCATATCAAAAACCGTTCACAGATGAGCTCAAGGTAACTAGTTTTTGTGTGTCCCTCATACCAAAGATAGAAACTGGTGAATTTTACTCGTGGCAGTAAAAATTAGAAATTTAGAACTGGAAAACGAGTTTAGTTGTCGTATTTTTCTCAACAGTTTCGGTTTGGACATACCATTGCCAAAAATCGAATATTTCTGAAATTCCAGGAAATAACTTTTTCCTTTATAAACGACTTACGCGCCTTGTATGACTTTTTAAAAAGAAAAAGACGAAGTAAAACAGTATAGTTTACCTTCAGTAAGCCCAGTTTCACCGCTGTGCTGATAAAAGTATCTGTCTCCATATTTGAGTCTGCGAAACTGCTGTCCTATGATGCAACTGAACGTTGGGCCCAGCAGACCGTCATTCCTTGGGATTTCTGAGACCCCTGCAGTCCACAAGTCTATGTCATCTACGTGTCTGTAAAATAAGGTTAATAATCTAAAAAATCAGTAAACTATCCATATTATCATAACACTGGAAATTTCAAATGATAAATGTTTCGCGGATATTCTCAAACTTTTTTAAAGTGACTTTTTAGCTCAACGACTAAATAACAATTTAGATTAAAATAATGATAGGTATAATCAGACAAATCGATGAGGTCAAATATACCTGTAAACAGACTGATACAACGTTCTCAACCTCTCAGGAAGATCCTGCAATCCATCGAAATCTGTGGCTTTTTCTAATCCACATGCTTCCCGCATGGTGTTATAGGATGGCAGACCATGATCCCGGCCCCTTTGAATATTCAGTGACACTAAATCAAAACCAGGCATGGCCACTGTGTTTTCGAAAAGATGGTTTGTTACTTCTTCGGTCACTTTGTTATCAACCTTTTGTGGGTGGGTATGCAGTAGACCATTGATTATACTCTTAACGCCTCCCTGAAGCGAATCTAGGAGGGCAAAAGGACAGAAGAAATTGTCTCTGAGCCTCAGATTATCAGTATCAGTTTCTTGGTCAAAGCGGGGAATAAAATTCTGCAAAAGTGAATGACCAAAACGATATGCCGCAGCAGAAAATTCATTTACAACTGTAGGGTTTACGGCGCTGTTGTAAGTTGAGCGTTGTGCTCCGGGTTTCACTTTCAGTCCATACGTCGTCATTCCACTTTCTCCGAGAATAATGGGCAGGAACTCGTTATATGTAATATGCTGCATCATGGCACCAAGAATCCTCCTGGCTTCTTGAAACAATCGTTCATCATTCCACTGAGGATTAAGTTTTGATAGAGCTCTGGCAATTCTGTTGTGTTCATATAGCCAGGTAGTGTGCATTGCAGTGAGACCAGGCTGTTCATTCACTCTCACGTCACCTGAAAAGAAACATGCGCGGTACTTCAAATGTTTCAAATGAATCGATAATAATTTATTATAAACGCATCACTTCGCGTCTTTTTTGTCAATTTTTGGTTATATATTTATTTATCTATTTTTAAATCCTTGAGTTTTTTTCTCTCTTAATCTCTACGTCAGAGTCACACGGTTTTCGTAGCAGGATCCAGAAAAAAATTCAATTAAACCGAGCATCCTAAAAAAAATATCGCCTGTGCTATGACTAAAGCAAATCAATAAACCCTAATCTGAAAAAAACTCCCCAGCACTTTTTGCCTACCTGCCGCAAAACAGACATCTTTTCCTTCTCGAACTTGACATTCAAGTTTCTTCTTTTCTTCCGTTTCTGCCCAGGGTAAATATCTGTCACTGTCTGCAGCACGAGACACTTTAAGCAGACCTTTTTAATGGGTAAGATAAAATTTTGAAGTCAAAACTACATATAACACATACGCGTAATGTTCGCAAAATTTCAGATGGAACCCCGTTTTTTTAAATAGGTGACTCACCCAGCCTCTTACGCGCAAAAAAATTGAATGCAAACATTTGAGACTTGTGTTCTTTGATGCGCTTTTCTTTTTTGTTACTAAGAATAGGCAGCACTGTCTAAAATACAAACAAAGATGATTTAAATACATCATTATGTAAAAATAAATCCATTAAGTTAATTTGCATTTGTACCTCCAGTGAAATTTCTCAGTCTATCAAAGTCCTGGTCTCCGGAGCCGTAGACATTAGACGCATCTATAAATGCTGTGTTGACGTTAAACTGCTCCCGGTAACCTAATGAGAGAAAGGAAACATCTATCAGATAATAATAACAATAAATATTCCATTTTCATGATCAAATTGCAATGAAAGTTTAATCCCCCCACCCCCCGCAAAAAAAAAGCAAATACTCGTACATGCATTTGTATTGATACAAAGCTAAAGATACAAGAATCATGTCATCTTTTACCGTCTATACACAAGAGGCCATGACAAACCTATCCCCTGGTTGTCTTGGTATTGTTTGTGATTACCATCTCTTCCATATAAAAGGCACTCGATCACTACTCAGTATTTGGTTTCACATCTATGACAGATCCACAAGCAAATACAGCATATTTTTGGTTTTATGATCTTACCCAGTTCTCGTGAATCTTCAGAAGGTGCAGACCTCACAAAACTCATACAACCCTCTTCAAAGGTAGGGTCAGAACTGTCAATTTTAATGGGAAGGCATGCTTTGCTAAAAAGAAGAAATGAAAAACAACTTAATTTTGCCTGCTGTAAATAATGTTCATGTCCGAATTACTACTACGTGAAAATTTCACATTGAAAACAAAATATACATACAACTGTATTAATCTATCAACACCAACTTTCAACGCCAACATTTCAGAGGCCTGTCTTATGTTGACACAATTTGAGTTATCTATTGCCATTTTAAAATTATTTGGGTTAAATCTAATTGAACCTATACAAAGTTATAATTTGTTTTATTTTTGATAAAGAATATGAAAACGATCTTTTTTGAAAAAAGTTTTTTTTTTTTTGAAAATCTATAATTTTTTTTTCGAAACCATTTACAGAAAGAAAAAAATTATCACAAGCTGAATCAATATCAATGGAATGTGTTGAGAATTTGACTTTTGTGCATTGTGATAATCAAAGCAGCATACCTCTGATTCGACATCTTTGGGCAGCAATGTATGAAGTCGCCATTCTCATCTAAAATGGACACATATATAATAAAATATACAGAGAACATGAACTTTTGAAAATGAGGTATTCTTATCATATCAATTTGTACATAGGTTAAAAATTATGTTTTCTTGAACTATCCACTTGTGTATATGTTTGTCTATTTGCCTGAAAAACTATCTGTACAGGAAAGGAAAGGCCACCAATAAAATAAAATAAAGATGTAATTAAAGCTGATAATACATAAAAACTATAGAAAGCTGTATCTTGTGATCTTTATGTTTTTAAAAATTGTGACAGTTAATTTAGGCAAAACAAAAACTTTAATGACAAAAAGACTATTATTACAGAGCTACCGGAAAAATAGACGATTTTAAATTTCAATGAACATTACACTTTTTTAATCAATCGAATTCACTATTTACTTTCCACTTAATCAATCAAATTAAATTGATAAGGAGCCCACCTGTCACCGGCAAGGTCAAAGTTATGTCATGATCTAAGAACTGCCCCCACTGCATTACCATCAGGGAGAGGGCACGGTTGTCCAAGGCGGGTTCGTTACCGGTATGGATGGCAAGGCTGATAGCACGCGGACCAGGTAACTTAAATCTTCGTCGTCTTCCCATGAAGATCACATCGTCGTCGTCTTGCAGATTGTCATCGTCGTCGTCGTCTTGCTGATTGTCATCGTTGTCGCCCTGCTGATGGTCATCTCTTTTCCCTCTTCTGAACACGACGCTGAACTTTCTGGGCTTCTTTATCCCTACAGTCAAAGGCATTCTATAGGTTAAGGCTACGCGTTAGACCTCCACAAAGCAAAGGAAATCTTTCCACAAAATTTCGAGAGTTTTCCGGTTTAATGTCAAGATATTCTCTATTCAAAACCGTTCAGAAATTTTTGATAAAATTCTCATCTCTAAACCTTTTTCAAGTTTAAAATTTTCTTAAATCTCCAGCCATTTTCTCTATTTAAGTAACACAAAGACAAAGAAAAGTTAGAACTCGAAAACGGGTAAATGAATCTGAATTCTGTGATAAGATTTGAACAGAATGTACCTTGATGATGAAGGGGGAAATGTTGGAATGTGTTTTCCTTACGCTGTAACTGCTGTGCACTCAAACCATTTCATTAACTTTCATGCTTATCTAACTTTCAGGATATGACGTGCGAAGCACGCACTATTTAGAAATAATTATAATTCTTACAAAGTAAAAGAATCTTGCCAATGCCTATATGCTTAACATTTATCAAAATGATTTCAATCTATGAATACAAGTTACGTTTTCTGTAAAGTTTACTTATATAATAGGCCTATGCACGAAGACTCTTTGAAACTCGGTAAAGGCGACGCAAATCAAATATTACGTATTTCCATGAATATTCCTTACACTTATTAACACCTTACCGTCCTCGTATGAAATTGGTCCCAACCTGTCGAACGCCACCCCGGCACTTCCCCACTCCTTGTTTTCAAGATTGTTACACGTGCCGTCCGCAGTTCGGAACCTGGAATCCTTCGCCGAAGTGCAGTCCTTCCCCTTTTGACTGTCTTTACTGTCTTTACTGTCTTTGCTTTTCTTGTGAAGTATGGAAAAGTTGGGCCCAGTGGACGAGTCACCTGGTTCATTTTTTAACTGACCAGCACCATGCCCACGGTTATTTGATTGTTGTGCCCAAATTATGAGTGGCAAACTGTAATGTTTAAAAAAAGCGCAATTTTGAAATATCCAGAATCGGTCTTAGAAGCGTTTGAACATAGCACACAGTTTGAAGCACACTGAATTGAGTCGATCAAATCGGAAATTTGGGGACGATCTGAGTACGAGGAATGTTTGAGTCTCACCACATCAATAATAACTACGTTACATTTGCCATTCCATGTATTCTGTGCTCAAATACTGGCTCCCTACGACCACTTTTCAACCGACAAACCGTCGACACTTTTAGTTTACGTTGTCAAAAAAGAAAATCGCGTGGAAAACACGGTATGCGATTTCATAGCACGCACCCGTTGCAAATGATATTTAGTTATATTTTAAAGAAAGTACATGTTGAGATGTCGTCTATAAACAGCTCACCTGATAAACAAAAGCAAAACAGCCAATTTCCCCATCTCCTACACTCCCTTTCTTTCTGATTAAAGAGAACGTAATCTCTTGTGGTGGTCTTTGGTAGTTTCGTCTCCTTCAACCTAAACGGAACATGCACATATATATATATATATATATATATATATATATATATATATGGAGAAACGACTATAATTTTCAAATGTCTCGGGGTCACTGCTGTCTATCTTGGCTTATCTACATCAGTTTCATAACCTATGATGTCATTATATCTATCTCCATAACGTTCCACTTGCAGAGTGACCGGTCAGTCGACCCGACATATTCAACTCCTGTATTTTTTTTATTCTTTGTCTGTTTAACATGACTTTTTGACAAATCACAGAAATGAGAAAAATTGTGGGAAAAAAGGCAAGAGCAATTTTGCTTTGCAGCCGTTATTTTTATAATCAGTATTATTATTATTACTACGGCCCTGACCTGTATGTAGAAAGATTACCCGCTTTACATAACTCGACTACGTACAGATGACCTAAAAGGAGGGCTATCCGACGATCGAAAAACCAACGAGCCATTAAATAATTATTTGATGGTTCGTTGGTTTTAATTATTATCGTCATTATTATTATCCTCTTCAAATTAGTCGGCTACTTTTTAATATGGCAACTAGCGTACAAATGATCTTAAAAGGCGGGTTATCAGACGATCGACAAACTAACGACCAATCAAATCTTCATTTAAAACATCTCAAGGACGTTGGCATAAAACTTTATATTCTTGTCTGCAATCAGCACTGTTAATTATATGGTTCATTCAGGGTTCAAGTGCAGCATAATAATTTTGATCATTAAAAATTGATAACATACCTGGCGACACCTGCAGCCCTTATGTAATCAACGTTTCGTAAGCTTGCAAACGTGATTTTATCAACTTGAAATTAAGTGAACGCATATCATTTTATTACTTATCTATGAATTATTCATTGCCTTCACACTTTTCTACCATCAGTATTCAACGTATCTTATATCAGTTTCTCAAAACCGCACAATAATAGTACAATAACTTTAAATAAGGGAATGAATCGCAATTATAAAACTAATTCACTTTAGTGAATTAGACAATTGACGAGTTGGAAGATATTTGACCAACGCAGACAGCAAATACTTAATATGCCACATATACAGGTACATTGTTGCTCAAAGATCGGGTCCAGGATTAAATGTATAAAAGAAAAGATATCACCCGTAAAATAAGAGTTCGTCATCTGATAAGCAGACTGTACGCTTCGAAGTTTTTCTTTTCTCGGAACTTATATTATGAAAATATGTTGTCTTTTCCACTGGGCTCGGGGACTCTCGCTGAATGCAATCAGATTAACAGATTAAAGTGCCTCTTGATGTTTCCAACACAAGCTGGTGATTAGACGTTAGCAAGAGGCTGACGTCATTCCTTTGCAAAATTCTCGCTGGACAGAAATGTCCGTATATATCTAGTAAGAAAGCCCTCTGTGACCCCGTGGGCCTGGTAGAGGGTTGACAGAGAACAGTGTGCAGCGAGGGGAAAGCCCCCTTTACACTTGACGGCGTCCTTTCGGTGTCCCGTAGTACGGCCCCGTTTGAGAATAAAAAATGCTTTACGTGCCGACAACTGGTCTATCACTGAGCATTCATTCAATTTCTGCAACCAAAACGATGCTTGTGTCTCTTTTCTACGAGCCACAGCGATGCCAGTTTCATGGTAGCACAAAAGATACAGAAAGGACGCCGTCCAGTGTACAGGTGGTTTAAAAGCCATTATACGTGACGTGCCTGAACGCCAGTCGTGCTCAAATACCAGTTGTTTGTCACGTTGCAATTTTGAGGATTTTTTTAAAATAAACAAATTTACTTGCCTTTCTGAGATGCGCACTTGGATTTTACTGGCTAAATACCACTCAGAGGTAAGATGCCAGGGACTGGCTCAATTAGTAGTAGGCACAATTCCGCTCAAAAGAACGTAGTCCATGCAGTCGATCTGCTTCCCTGGTCAAAACAACCGTTCAACTGTGGTCTAAAGTAGTAGTCGGCACAGTTATATAGTCATTCATTTGTTGTGATTTAGTTATAATTATCACGTGCGCGTTTTGCCTACGGGGGGGTGGGGGTGGGGGGGTAACGGCTTGTCATCAAAGAAAAATAATGTAGGCCTATAGCACCGTACTTACTGTTCCCATTTCTATTTCCATTAGACAATCTTTCCTTAACTATATACATCGCTTATTGCTGTTTTTATTCTTAAAGGCAATTTATTATCATTTATTATTATTACACACAACTATGTTTATCATCTCAATGAGATATTCAGATGTACACAAATTTTCGAACAGAACTCACGCTGACTGCCAACAGACTATCATTAACTGTGATGACGTTGGTTTGTCCTAACGAGGACATCAGCTTGTCAAGGGTGGTTTACCTGAGCGGTGTCGTAACCTGTATGCGGAAGTTTTACCATCAACGGTCACTGTTGTTTCACCGGGGGTTCACCTGAGAAATGTAAATAAGGTAAATCTGACACCAACCGACACGTGAAGACGCAACGTCGCCACGGTCATTATACTAATCATCTCTTAACAGCAGCCACAATGAGTTCAAATTTAAAATTGACTTAGCCATTTGGCGCGTAAGCTACAGTGTGTATTATCTCAACTGAATATCTAATAACCTTCGTAAACATTTATATTCTCAAATGCATTACATTATTGGTCAAAAATATAGAGGGTTCTCTTTCCTTTCATCAACCTCTGCAGAATTTGATGTGTACGTGAAAAATAAGACGTTGGTTGTGGTGAATTAATCGACGCTCTCGTGAAAAAATATTCTCTCGTGTCCTGTTGAAATTTCCCTTACAGGATCCTTTGCTCTGAATGTACCAGGTTAAAATGAGGCAACGTGAAGTATTTTTGCCAAAAATAAATAATTTTGTGCTTTTACACGCCATATGTGATCAATTGATCTGAGGTTCAAAATTAATAAATTTCATTCGTCTTTCAAAAAGAAACCTAGTTTTTTTAATCAGACGAGAAAGTCCAGAACTGATAAACGGTAAAAGATCAAGTGTATTGAAAATAGATATATTAACATGAAAATATATTTCTATCTTTGTAAATGACTTGGAAATTTTATTTTTGGTCCGGTTATTCATTACTTTAGAACCCCGACTTTGTCAATAGCATTATATTATAGTCGAGCAACATCCTCCTATAATTTTCAGAATCTATCGGTTTTGTTATCATGTTTTAAAAGTAGGCTAGTTCTAGAAGTATGTCTTTGTTATATTTAGCACAACACAGGTAGGTAAAAAAAATTTAAGGATGCAGAAAAAAGGGCTTTGATGAAAAATTCCTTGAAACACTGAAAACTCCCTCTTGCCTGATACATCCAAGATAGGACCCATGGAAATGAGTTGGAACCTCGGTCAAAGAAAGCTATTTTATCAAATCAGTGATGAGAGCAAAAACGTGCTGGCTACAAATACAATCTGCTAATTTAGCTGAAATTTATTTTAGAAAAGCACGTATGGCGTGTACACGTGTACATGTATCTATTATCATTCAAATTATCATATTATTGTTTAAATTAACTACACACATTTCTTAATCAAAGATGAAGAAGGTAGACACCGAGTACGAAAAACTAGGAAAGCAGGCGAGGAATGCGTCTTCAATGCTCTTCAATAACATGTGCCTGACACAAACCAAGAACTTCTTGCACAAACATAGCTGTCTTGGGATACCGGTCAGCCGCCGTATCACATATATTCATGGACAAGGATGTAATTGTAAGATCAGTCCAAGATATCAGTGGGAACATACCACCGGTGACGGTTTCTTCTGACGCTAGAGTACTAGTTACCGCTTTAATTAAAGATAATGACGATTTCTATCGGGTCGTCGATGACTTGATCTCGCACGTTATCACCAGGGCCCGGTTGCACCAACCGGTCGTAAGTTAGGCGTTGCCGTTGCGCCTGCGTAAATCCAGCGCAAAACTCTACGCCCGAGAAAAGCCAGTTGCACCAAACTGGAATAGTGTTTAGTCGTAAATTTACGCCTGACAGCTAAGTAGTGTATGTCGGTCGTAGCTCGTTTTCCACTATGGCTAGGTTGGCAAAGAGAGAGTTTGATGACAATTATCGTAGTTTACGTGGAAAATGTGGGTTATTTGTTTGTTTCTCCCACAAAGCTTCCGTCTGTACAACTGAGCAGTGGCTTGGTTTTTAAAACACTAATATATATAGCCTTCTTATCGTAAATTTTATGTTTGTTGAAATAAGACGAGGAAATTGTGAGCTGATGTCGGTAATGTTAACAAATGCTTATGTAAAATGTTCTTACATGGTAGGAATACATATATGTAGCCATGTATATATGCGTACGTATATGTTCAATTTAAATCTTACCACACATGTCGGTAAGTCTTGGCTCTCAGCAGTTCGATTTCTTTATTTCTTTTCACAATTTTTGAAAAATATTAGCTAACCATAGTCATTTTTCTTCACATTTTATATTATTTATATTTTACTTAATATAAACATTAAGACTGACGCTTAGAATATCAACATTTAAAGGCTCATATAATTTGTATTAGGGCGCTTGTATTTCTTAAACTACAAGATGTAAGCTCCCTTAATTTAAATGATATCACGTTTTAACTATGGATAAGTAGGTTATTAAATTGTTGACACTGTTGTAAAATTATAAACAAGAAAGCAATGTTGGCGTTAAAAGTGCAATTTTGGCATTATTTTCAGACTCAAAAGGTAGAATAACAAATGTGAAGGTGTTCAAATCCATTAATTGGAATACGTCCTGTCTCCAACGCGTTTTTCTCATTTACAACAGGCTTCAATCAATCATTTAGATTTTAATTTTTTAACATACTGTAATAATATTTTGATTCGGAATACATTTACGATTTTATTGCTATATATATCCAAGGCAACAGCAAAGTTAACATATTTTAACGCTTTAATTTCTAAATCAAAATGAAATAATGTAGCTTCTGAATTTCTCCGTCAGTGAAATGCTCATTTTGTGTTTATTTATGTCGTCATTCTATTATGACTGCAGCTGCGAACTCCTCATTTGCCTAATTATTTTATCCACGTATTGTTGGGCAGTGATGCAACGAAGCGTTACTGGGGCGTTGTTTTTTGTCTTGGTGCAACGCGTGGGGAGGCGTGTGAGAGTGAAAGCCATTACAGGATTAAGCGGTCTTCCTTTCATGTAGGTCCGCCATATTTAGGTCGTGGCCTAGCTAGCACTCGGCTCTTCTCATTCTGAATGGCCTCATAGCAACGTACGCATTGTGGTAACAGAGACGTGATTAGTTGCAGGACGGCACAACTACCAAGCACAGCTACCACAGTTTTCACTGAAAAAATGTAAAAACCAAAGACAGTGTCCATTCAGCATCGTAGCAAGAATGTATTTACCAATTCTTGGTAATACATGCTTGATGGTAGTCAGTTTCTGTTTTAAAATTAGTTTTTATTATGGCAATGCCTGAACTAAATGCAGTTTCCTGACTCGTGCATGTAACATGCCATTGCTCTACTCAAGTAAATTGTGGAAAATCTCCGAACATACAACATAAAGCAGAACTGGTGCACAGTTTTTTAGTGTTCAAAAACGACTGTGCCTTTACCCAATTGGTGTATATATTTCGATTTCTAATTTTTATTCAAAATATAATTAAATACAAAAATATAATTTATAAAAATGAAATCTCTTTAACAAACTCTGGATAATTTCCCAATATCATTGTTTAGACCCAAGTCTTAAAAATTGGATTTAAAGTTTTTGCAATGGAATAAAGAAAATAACAATGGAAAGCAGCCTGTTAGTGGTTACTTCACAGCAAATCCTTGAGGGAACAATAAGATGCGGTACACAATGGATTTGTTAATTTATATGCTTGGGTTAGAAAATATTTTCTTATCATTACCTTACACTGTACTTGAGCCCTTTTCACACAAAGCAGATGAGGTTGATTATAATACATGCAATTGGAAAAAAAAGCCACAGCGTTTCACCACCATACCAGAAGCAGCGATACATGGGAGTGGCAGTAGAACAAGCTCAGTTTTCCTTGTGTGCAATATTTAGGGAAGTTATGAGCCGTGTTTAACAATCTAAGCCATAATTTAAACAAAAGTTTCAATTTATCATATATTTCATGCAATGCCTATTGTCTGGATTGAAAATACACAATAAATTCTTACTAAATCCTACAAAACTGGCCTAATCTTTAAAATGTGAAATAATGTATCTGCATGTGCTTTGTGCTCTCACCATATAAATTGAGACTTTCCGTTCTGGTTTGCAACCCCTTTAGAATTTTTTTTTTTTTTTTTTTTTGCAATGATAAAACCTGATCAAATCTAGCATTTAAAACAGTTTCAATCCAGATTGTCCAGATTGTGCTCCTCTGTAATATGTAACTGCATTATCAAAAAGTTGTACAAAATATGCTGTGTGGAAGGTTTAACTTGGATAAATGTTGATATGAAGAATGTGCATAAAAGGTACTCTGCAAAATACATTAAACACATGAGTAAATGATGTTAGTACCTTTGCACTGAAAACAGACCTTGGGGGATTTATTTGAAAAGTCATAAGATGTTTCTACTCCAATATAACCAAAATTACAATATTTGCAGCTTTTGAAATCACAATAGTTAATATAAAGAGAATCGGACTGGCATTCATACTATACTTTTCGTAATCATAAGAGTCAATACTACGAATACCAACATGAAGTAAGTCATATTTAGCCAACTCAATACACACAAAAGTTTGAGGAAGCAAGCAGGATGCTCTCTATATCTCTCCCTTACTTCTCCTGCATCGTTTTTGTACCTGTTGAGTGTAGTGTAATTATTTGGTCAGTGGTCACCAGTCTTTACCTCAATCAATAACCAGTACCCAAGATCAATTGGTTCCCACAACAGGGTTAAGAAAAATATTGACCTAATAATTCTACTTCATACCATTTCATGTGTTTCTCGATACACAAAAGTTGGCAATTAAAATAAACTATTTGCAGCTTACAGGCATGTTCCATCCAAAATATTTCTGATATGGACCGAGGTGAGAAGGGACAAATGATTATATGTGGACATATGGAATCATGATGAAATATGTGTTAAAAGTAATTCACCTCCAGGACCAGTTCTCCCGGGTTCACTTGAACCACTCCCCTTCCTGGGCTGCCACTTAACACCAGGCTGGAGAGGTTTTCTTAAGGGCCCTTCTTTTCATTCATAAAATAATCTGGCTGGTTGGAGGGCTACTGTAGATGTGAAAGCACAGGGGCAAACGTGGTCACACAGGCAAAGGTAATTTTTAAAAAAATATATATTATGTTTAAGTGACAGTTTTGAATGTCTTTTTTTTTCTTACTTTTTTAACAGGTTTTTGAGAAATATCAAAGCTGGTTAAATATGCTTAAGGGTTAAGAATCATTAAACAATATGGTTTAGTTATAAGATTTTCAATGCATTTTGACCTGAGAAAACCAGTACACTTAAGACACCATGAAGAGAGGACAGTTTCACATATCAGCATATCTAAGTGGATCCTTAACTTCTATGGTTAATACCCGTCATGCTATAAAAAAGCAATTTGATCTTCAAAGTATTTTATCAGGCAAATGTAGCAGGTACAAATTCTAATTTTACGTAGTTGTTGAAAGTGTCATTATTATTTTAATAGTCAGTGTCATTATTATTTTATTAAAATAATGAAGACAGAATCATTGCAGTAATGCAAATGAGAAAAAACAGGCATGACATGTACTTGGGAACACAGCTGATGAGATGTCAGTGATTCTTTTATTTGATTGATTGATGCTGATTTATACAAAAGTAAAGAACACTATACCATCTTCACTATGACAGTTACCAGCTAGGTTGACAAGTCATTAGAGTTAATCATCATTGTTTTGTGACAGCAATGCTGTGTCTGTCTTTGGCCCATTGAAATGATTGCTGTGAACGATTGAATGTAGTTTCACCTGTCTGTCTTCTTACATGTGTAAATAAGATGATTTAGTCAGCAGCGGCGGATTTAGGGGGTGTTAGGGGGGTCCTGCCCCATCAGATCCTGAAAAAATAGAATTTTGACTAGCTGACTCAAAGTTCTAAACCCTACCGAATGGCACTGTACATCCTTCAAAACACCTATTTTTTTTTCGGGCTCTTCATTAGGCCCTAAACCCCACGCCAAGGGGGCGAGGGTCAGCTTCACATCCGAGGCCTGCGATTCCTAAAAAACTCCCCCCCCCTTCAAATAATCCTGGATCTGCTCCTGGTCAGTGACATAGTAAACAAACCCTACTAATTATGTTTTTTATACTTAAAAGTATGAAAAAATATCCACCCATATGCATGTGCAAGTATGACCAGTGTACACTGAATACAGATAGTCAGTTTTAAATAGTGAGATATTTCTGCATTAACAAAAATAATTTAAACATGTGCAGTGTAGATGCAAATATATTTTTCATGCAATTTCTTCTAAACTGACAACAAAAACTATGTCACAATATAGAATTATATGTTTTTTTCACTATTTCAGTATTCTTTAAATGATTCCAGATTCTTGTAAGATTTATATTTAAACATATTTTTCACCTTGTGTTTCATTAAATTCAAATAAATCTGTCTGACATAGCTTGATGAGAGCATAGAGGGTGAGGGCATCATATTACCTCCACTTGTCTTTACATGGGGCAAAAACCTTTTGAGCTCCCTTGCGTACCTGCTGGGCACAAAGAAAACAAGAATATTACGTGGCTGTTTGAACTTAAGAAGTTGTTATCTACTTATACCACAACACTATAACAGTAAAGAAAGGGAGGCAATTACAATGTTGTAGGGCTAATGCTTTATCCAAGCCAAATAGGGGTTCTAGACCAACAGCAGCAGGATGCCAAAACCTATGAGAGGTTTGATAATTTGCAGCTGGTATTAGAGGAAATGTAACTCAGAATAAGACATACTTTAAGGGCACACAGGTAAGATGGTTTACATTATTTATTATGTATTGGGATTTTGTAAATGGAATGAGTTATGGTTGGGGTTAAAATGGAAAATGTTAAGACTGTATTAGGTAACCTTCTGTTTCTAATAAACCATCATCCTGTTGATCTGTAAGCATTAAAATTTTGTATAAATTAAGATATGTTTTTGGGGGCATCTTTTGCACTGTATCATTTATTCAGCAAGTATTCCTGGCAAGAATGTCAACCATTAACAAATCAGAATTCCTGTTTAAAGGCAATCAGTTGCCACACTTCAGAAGAACTCTTAGGTCATTCTTGAGTGGCATTACAAATTTGGTCACATAAAGACATGCAAACTATGACAGTATTGTGTTTTTCCAGGAAAATCATGTTCGGACCTAGTTTTTAATTAAGTCACACTTTCAAACTCTTTAATAAAAACTAGAAGTGAATGTAAAAGTTATGGTAGATGGGTTTTAATTATTTACATGTATACTATGTGTAAGCAATAATACCATAGCTCTATATGGTAATGCCTCTCGAACTCTCCTGTTTTCTGAAATACAATTGCAATTTCTCTTTCATTGACTCATTAGCAGCAACAATCTGGGGGCGTAACATAATGTTGTTATGATTTCCTGCCATAATGTGGCCAATGAACCACACTCTATCTGAAGTCAAAATAGCATTCAGCGCTCAGTGTAAATTTAGCGTCAAACATACTTTGGGGGCATTTACAAATTGTTTACAGTTATTGCAGCCTGAATCAGTTACTGTGTTTATTAATAATATTTCTATATCTAGAAAGTGGTACCAAGCATCAGAATGGCATTTTGTGTAGGTTTGACAGGACGGGTATTTTAAATCTCCTGGTCACAACAAAAAGGTCTGCCACTGAGTCATGTGATTCTTTGCCTCTGACATTGTTTAGATAGTTGCAAAGAATTTGAGAAATAATGAAAAGTGTGATCTGCCTCAATAATTTACATCTGCACCTGGCTGCATATCCCCCTCCCCCTTTTTTCAATGCACACCTACATCTGTCACACCAGGGGGTTAGTCTCTAAAATCTAAGAAAACAGCCCAGCATACCATGATGGTTTTATAAAAGACAGACATACCAAGACCTGGTAATATGATGCAACAATCTTTTAAACTTGGGGAAAATGAGGTATGATATTTACTAAACACATTGCAATGTCTTTTCAATTTGAAATAGGAACTATATAAAATTACAAAAAAAAAAAAAAAAAATGAAACTAAAAGTTAAATATGAGAAAAAAATTAATCCAAACAGTTATTCAAAAAGAGTGTAGCGAGGATAATAGAAATTATGCTTTTTCAACATGGCACCTGTTTTGAAGTGGCAGCGTCACATGCAGGTGGACTAGGACAATATTATCCTTCCCACAAAAGAACATATTTATTGCTTCATTTGAGATGTTGAACAAGTTTCAGGCAATTGTTATTCATTCACACTGGTATCCTGCCTGCTGAATGAATTCCATGTTACAGTCTATGCAGGTATAGTGTGGCTTAAAAATGTGCACCACTTTCTTTACAAACTTCAGAGAGAAAAAAATTCTTTCATTCCCACTTCTACATTTCATTTGCATTGAGAATATTGCCTACAAATTTATTACACAATTAATTACCTGCAACACAACTAGATTGGTCTCTGCTTAGTGAAACATTTTCCAATAATCTTTTGAAACTTTGCAAATACTTCACCATTCTAAACAGAAGTAAAGAGGGTGAAATGATATATGTCTTGGTCTCCTGTGTTCACAGTCCATTCTGTTAGGCCAAAAGAGGAGAAATATCCCCTGGGTATGTACACAACAGGTACAGCAGTGACACGGGTAAAATTACACTCATTTCCACCAATTTACAACACATACTTGGGTGACGACCTCTCGCACATTTGGTGAATTGTGTCTGGAAAACGGCAGTCCCAGAGAAAAGTAGACACCAATTAACAGCTTTTACCTAACAGAAAATGGACAAATGACTGTTGTGAGTATGTATGAAACATGTGGCGACATGAAAATTAACTCATTTAAAGATAGGTTCCAGATGGGGTGCTAAATGGTTGTATAAATTTCTTAATTACATGAAGGTAATACAGGTGGTAATGAAAGCAGATTACATTATCATAAAGGTGAACATTTTTACTGCCATTATAAGAATGCTGTAATTTTAATGTTTTGCACCTATTTCAGTTTTTCCCTTCCTCCGTGAAGTATATGAAATATTATGATTAGGTATGAGATTTTTCCTATAATCAAAAGAAGTTCAAATATAATATAATGCCCAAACACCATAAAATGGCAATGTGTATGTTTGTTTGTGTGTATATGGGTAAAAGTGTTAGGTACAATAATGTTCCAGTGTTTGGGTTGGGTGTAGGGAAATAGATACTGTTGATAACTGTTTTAATTAGCAATACTTTTGGCCCAAATCCATTCCTTTTAACTGTTTTCAGTGCCATTTTGAAAGTAAAAAATAATAAAGGAGTGGGGATGGGCTTTTAAACAGGTATGTTACCCCACCCCCTTTTTTTTTCATCATATGACACACGACATGAGGACACTCTGCACCCAGCCTTACCTCTGTACCTGGCACTCATGTCGGCAGAATAAAAGGACATGGGACATGGGCAGTTAAGTCTGGAGTCACACTTCAAAACATCTCATCAAGAACAAACACACAACATCTTTGGCTCAAAAGCACACCCCATTTATGCAATGATAATTAGCTTTGAGGGGATAAGGAAGGAACAAGCCCCAAAACTACATGTTTTTGGTGTGTTACGAAGACCGGTTTCATGGTATCATTCCACATCACTTTGATGAGGTTGGTTAAACCAACAGACCTTGGCTGCCATTGTTTACTGAGCATACACAACTCCTCAACCGGCCAAGAGTGTGAAAGAGCAAGAGATCATGTCGAGGGTCAATTGCTTGAAGCACTGTTGCACTACTCCAGTAACAAACCATATACTTTTCACATTGGTATCACAGTCTTCTAAATACCTTAAACTTTTAGTTTTGTTAAAAATTACATGCTTCATGGCTTCATGCACATGCTGAAATTTTTCATGTTTTTGGAACAAGTTATGATGCCGGCAATTATAGCTCATTTTGCTTGTACTTTTTCTTTAAATTTCCATGACATTGTATTAGTTGCTTTGCCTATTATCTATACTGACTACTTATTTTTCAAAGAGCATTTTGGAATCATTGGAGTCACTCCAATCATAATGTTTATTTCAATTTCCTCAGATCACTGCAAAACTCCAATTATTATTTGAAACACTGAAGGGTTTCAAATGAAAAATTTTGAAATCTATTTGCCATGGGCAGAGAACTTGAAAAAACTGTGATATATTTGAGAAACTGTGTATGTGGTCCCAGTTTGTACAGCACAAAAAAGATTGTTCCACTTGAAAAGTATTTAAATTCATTTTTCGTATCATCTATAGCATTTCTTAATATGTAAAGTAAAATAATATTTAGAAATTCATAAAGAACCTTTTTTCGAAGCAATATATATATATATATATATATCTGGCAGCTCATTTTTTCCATATTATAGAAAAATTGTCATAGTATCTAGAATATCATTTTCATATCAAAACCAGCACACTTTGCATCAACTTGTATTTATTGTAACCATTCAAATAAGACCATCAGATTAATTTTTTCCCTGTTACTAATTCCCACGCAGGTTCTTTGTAGAACAGAGCCAGCTATTGAAGAATCCACCGTTCCTCTTGACTGCGGCTAAAATAACAAAATTTGCCCGCCCATGTTGGGATATTTTGATATACAACATTGTCTGAATAGGTTCAATACTGCCAACAAAGACCGACTCCTTAAATATGCAGGATCATGACGTTTTTTGTGTATATAGTAGCCAGGACTTTCAACTTCACAATGTGCCCCATCAACATAATTGTGTCAATAATAAATATCTTAGATATACCAACGATTTAACCTATTAAAACTCCTTAATGGCGATGAATGACGCAGGAACAAGAAGATACATACTGCAATCTAAAGGACTTTGAAGGGCTGTACAAATTTACCTCCTCTTGCTATTTTCAAAGATTACATTTATCAAAAGTAACATATTTCTAATCCAACCTCTGGCCAATCAATCAATGGGGCCTTTGTAGTAAAGAACAGGGGATCAGGCCTATTAAAACATAATTTGAACACACAATAAGGAAGGCCAACAAAAAAGGGGGCTGCATGTCCTTCATAGCGCTGTCTTTTCTTCCTCCTCATATCTGGCAGTTACGACTGAGAAACAACATTTCGGCTATTCGATACCCCTGATCATTATGCACTGTATAATTACTGGCTTGTGGACATAGGGACAAGGGAGTGGTAGGATGGTATGTTAGCAGAAGGGGGCACCAGAGTTTGGCAACTTGAAACAAGTAGGATCAGCCATCTAAAGAAGGTGGCTTACTGTAATCTGTAAATTTAAATTTCAAAAGTTGAAGAGCTGTGAAAAGTGAAAGGTCATTATTTAATTACTTATTATGGAGTTTACCGGAGCCATACTTCAACCATAGGCCACAATAACAAGGAGAAGTCAAATAGCCTTTTCATTCATTGGTTTGTTTACAGGATCAATGAAAGGCGATTGTTGGTGAGATTAGTCTCATTAGCGGCAAGGTCTCAGCTACGGCCATGGCCACCAAGACCTCACGGGACTGCCAGTTGCTACTCATGATGCAAGTGTATTAGCGCCAACAACATTCGTACTTTTGGATAAAATTTATGTTACTCAATCAGCAAAGGACTTGCCACATTAGGACATTCCTGGGCACAGAATAATTCTAAATACCTGGAAATGAGGGGGGAAAAGGAATAAAAGGTGAGTGTTTAGACAAGTCACTGACAACTTATCTTGAAAAATTGCTCAACTGCTTTGAACTTTGAGAAAAGAAACTCAGGTGTAGTTGACAATCCTAGGGGAACTGACTGGTCCGTCATTACAGACTGCTTGCTTAAAACTATCTTGACTGTAATGAAGTAATATAAAAGAGAATCTGATTGTGACCGTATAAATTATATTTACATACTCAAGTTATAGAAATTAAAAACAACTGATCTCATTAAGTATATGAACAAATCTGTATCAAAAATTGCATTGGTGACTAAATAAAAAGTTTGTTTATTAACAAAAAAAATTCAAACAACCAAATTATAATAATAATAATACACACTGTCCATAAAAAATCTAACAATATGAACATTGCAAAAGTCAAACTGACTTGGATATAAACCTTTGATTTTAATAGGAGTAAATACTTCGACTAGTTATCAAAGATTTCTGTTACTTTTAATAAATGATAAATCAAATATGATTATGTTATCCAATGACCTAGGTTTATTTTAATTCTGTTTCATGATATTTTGGATGACCTAATAGCAGCATTTTTAGGCAAAAAAAATAAATAAATAAATTTTCAGTCTAAAAAAATATTTAAGTATCTCATTTGCCATCTGTACATACTCCCAGTATTGTAGCTTTGGAAAATGACTACAAAACAGTAACTCAAACTTTCTTTAATATTATTAAATCTTTATAAAATAAGAAAAAAATATATAATTAGACTGGTTAATATGTTCTTTTATAATCAGTCAGGATCTTTTTTTTCATTTAAAGCTTGAAATCTTTCCAAGTTGTGAAAAAGGGTTAATAAGCCTTAGGCCCTGCCATTTTTGGGGAAATTTCCATTGCGTACTTAAATCAAGTAAATGGTCACATGCATTCTTTGCATTTTTAAGTCATTTAGTTTTATTTATTTATTGCTATTTCCAAAAATATGAAAAGACAATAGGGTAATTAAATGATATCATTTATAGTTGATGTTTGAAGAAAGGAAATATATTGACAGATATTTGAAAAGTTTCCTTCTAACATTTTAGTTGATTTGGCACTTGAACTGAATTAAACAAACCTTTATTTAATTTTTTCCCTTTTTATTTTAAAACTTCTCACTGAAAACAATCCGTATATACTGTTTTCAGCTTATCTCTGCATTTGATATATCAAAACTCATTCCAAAGACCTTGAAGGTGTTTTCTTAACAAAGGCGAGGTGTTTTACAAATCAACCGTTTGCCATCACCTTGTTTCAAAACAACTACTGCAAATTCCTTAGGCCTTTCTTTTCTCTTCAAAAGTCCACCATTTGGCGGCCTTTTGTTCTATTTACTTCTTGCCAACTCACTCCAAGTTGTTTTAGTTGATTTTCCTATACCACAGACCTGCCGAAAAGTATCTATCATTCAGTGCGGTTAAATGAATAATCCAATTCTGTTAACTCATTGGCCTGTGGTTCACGTTCTATTCAGATAATAATGAGAAGTCCCATTCACCAGTATAATGCTATGGCTGGATAATGGGCACCTCGTGTGAAAAAATAAATACATAATTTGTTAGTCTATCTATTATTGATTTCAGACCCCTTTTGTTGGCAACAATGTGGCTAACATTAAGAGCAATGAAATATTAATTCAATAATTCCTCATCGATATTTCTCCGATCAAGAATGCCAGAGTGTGATAAATAAGTTGTCGGGTTGAACCTTATGGGTATGTCTTCTATAGCCAGCTGAAAGCTAAGGTGTCTGAACATTACCCACAGCCATCTTAATCAATTATTAATGATAACCTGTAACAAATCCACTGCACAATCAAGTCTATGTCAACAGGGTGTAATGAGAATACTCTATACAATGTTGCCCAAGCAGAACCCGGTAATAAGACAATTGTGCCAAACTAATTATCCCAAGCTAATTAAATTAACTTAGGTAAAAAGCAAAAGTTTATGTACTGAAAAATGCACCTGCTGACCCCCAGATGCAAGCTGGAGGATCACTGCATCCAATGCAAATACTTGTGTTTGAGGAAGGCTTGGGTCCATGCCAAAGACAACTTAAATGATGCAAAAATGCAGAAAAGCAGTAAATTCTACCAGTTGTATTGATGTTGGTTGAGAGGTTCAAATTCATTCCACAAAACACAGATAAAGTCGAATATATGTGCACTTCTCCCTGGCAAGAGCAAACCCCTAAATTGATGAGTAGAGATTTGAACCTTTAAATTTCTTGTATTGGTTCTGTGCTGAATCAAGGTAAGATTTTTTTTTTTTTTTTTTTTTTTTTTCATGGTCCTTTCCCCTTGCTGGACACATTAAATAATCATTTTAGTTAATAAACATGCTTTTCATAAGTCATTAAAAATACATCAGATTATGGGATTCCAAGTGGTGGAAAGAGTAATAGATCCCATATGGATCCCTGGTGAGCAGCTGAGTATATGCAAGGATCTTACTCAAAGCAATACAAATTACATTTAAAATGCCTCCAAAATTATATAACAAAAATAACACAACACGCACCACTTAAACTTAATACAATTTCTCTAAAGATCCCCCCAAAATAACATTTCAATGTTGTATTAATCAGTGATTAAAGGCAGAAGGTTTGAGTGATGTGATGGTCCAGTCCACTCAGACTGCTTGGCGAGGCAAGGAGAGGCAGCAAGGCTGGCCTAACCAGCCAATAGAAACAAAGCCGACCAAGAAACCTGCAACTCATTGTGAAGTTAGCATTAGTGAAGTAGAGCTCTTAGAGCACAGAGCAGAGCAGAGCAGAGCTGGTCCTCTTAGAATAGGTTTACTAGAAATTGTCCAGTGTCTCCATTTCTCAGTACTTTTCAGGTAAGATCTTTCATGTAGTTCTAAAGCTGATTAAATAGGCCATTTAGTACATTTAGTAATATGAAGATGTTGGACATACAGGAAAGCATACTGAAGAGCACAGACAGTGTAGACAGTTATATGCTGACAATTGCTTACTCAAATTATTTCCTATTCATAAACTGCATCCAAGCCATGGAAAGTGCACAGTACAAGTATCATCATCATCAAAGGGAATACAGAATATGTCACAGCACCTGTAGAAGCCCATTTATTTGCTGTAGCTTCATCACTAAAGGCATCAAACGTGATACAAATACTGTTCCTTGAACATGTGATGCAAAATAGAAAATGCTAACACCAAGTATACCTTTGTCTAAGATGACACTATTTCATGAAATTTTCAAGATCTTTAGCTGATAAAAATATCCGTGTGCTAGTATAGCTAGGAGGCACAGACAAGAGACTTTAGATCTTTAGAATACCCAGGGTCTGGTTCAAGGAGTAAATCTTGTTCTCCATTTTGAGAACATTTTGAGATATCAAAGACATAAAATCCAAAAATTATCTTTTCAAAGGCAGAAAAATCAGTCTGAAGCTAAAACCTAAAATTCATTGAACTCTTTTATATACTCTCAATATGCATCTTTATTGAGCGAAAGGAATGTTGTCATAACTGCCCATAGGAAACCACACTCTAATTAATTTTAGATAATTAATTAAGTTCACACACAAATCAAATCAGTTTAATTGCATTATGTGAATACCCCCAGAAGCTGTTAATATGACAGAGGGGCCTACCCACATGGGAGTAAGCATTATTACTTATCTTGAATACCAACCAGTATAACTTTGAAGCTTATTTGTAAACATAGAGACAAGGTGAAATAGTTTCAGCATAAGATTCGTGTTACAGTACATAAACAATTTTAAAACTGCTCATGTTCCCAAACAGTTTTACCTGACTCCAGATAAAAATATCTGACCCTAAGATAAAAATAAATGTGCTCTCTATTTAATTAGCCATCAAAACTAGCCAGATCAAGGGGCTGGACATTTGCACTCATCTAAACACATCTTCAGGTTCAAATATACTTTAAACAGGACAAATTTGCCATTATCTTCATAGGAAAGTAAGTACTTTCCATAAACAATACAAAAATAACTGAGTGAGGCTTGGGATTGCATGCTGACTCTTGAGTTATTTTTCCAAACACCAGTGTTAACTGCTAACTTGTCTTCCAACAGCATATCGGATATTTGGAGCATGCTGCAAAATTCTTCTTCACTCCCTTCCATGATCTGCTTGTTTATCCTTGTATATCCCTCTCCACCCACCAGAAATTAAAAGGGGAACATTTCCCTCATCATGCTAAATTTTGGGGATATTCTGGACCCTGGCTGAAAAAAACTGGGGTCATCTGTGCATCCGTTTGTCAAAAATTGGGTGTCATTTTTCATAATATGCATTGAGAACCAAAATAAGTCAAAACATAAGCTAATGTAAAATGTTAAATGATGATGAACTTATGGCATATGCGTTCCATTTCATTTAAGAAGTTTTTTCAACCATTTTTTATTCTTTCATCTTAGATATTTTCTAAATTCTTTGTACCCAAAAAAGATAGTTTGGAATTTTGACATAAAACAGGTGAAAAGAAACATGGTTTATGTCTTAAATCAAATGAAGCATGAGGTTTATATACAGTTTTACTGCTTTTTTCAGTCTGCCACATCCACCATGGCATGCACACTGTAGGGTACCTGTTGTCAAAATGTTCATTCTAAAACTAAATGGCTTACATAAGGTATACAGTTTCAAATCATCCTTCAGCATGTTAATGCCCATGAACAATTAATAAATATTTATAAAGCTATAAAGAAAAGAAAATAATGCTGAATCTGATTTCCCTACAGGGTTGCACTAAAGATCTAAAACAAATGTAAAAACAAACTGTTCTTTTAATCTTGGTGTGGTATCTGTAGGAATTCTTACATTAAGATGTAACTAATTAATTAAAATTTAAAGCAGGAAAAATTATACCACTTAGTCTGGTATAACAAATTTCACACCTAAAGCTATGTTAAAAGCATGTGCACCCAGGCCTTAATCATTTCTTAGAATGTTAATCCAATTTTGAGTTGGACATAAGAAGGAAAAATAATACAAAGCCTGTTTATATCAGTTTCTTCATTAATATCCAAAAATAATACAGCCATCTTCCACCTGTTTTGTGTTAAGATATCATAATAATCTGCAAAACAGGTGCTAAGAAATCAGACATTTGAAACAACACTGGAAAAGGAAGAGACAGATTATACACAATCTGTACATTACTTGTAAACACCCAGTATTAGAGGGGTTCTAATAGTACACCTATAACAGGTTGAAAAAAAAAATAATAACTGAAAATATATAATATTTGAATTATAAAAATTTTATGGCTCATTAGCCAAATTAGCATACAAAAAGAATTTTTTAATTAATCATCATGGCCACCTATTAGCCTACTATTGTGAAGAAAGCACTTTATTAACACAAATCAAAGCATCTAGACTAATTGATTACTTTAACTTAATCTTTATAATTCTTTAAACAATATTACAAACAATCACATAACAGATGTGTATGTTTTCCCCCTTGTAAGCTTAGATATGCTATCTTCTCCAGGCCAACCTCCCATTTCATTACATGGGGATGGAGATAAGTAATATGTATATATACTTCCTATAGTATTGTTGATCTAGCTGTGCAACCAAAAGTAAACACAATATCAGGCCATTGCAGCTGAAGTATTGGGTTTGTTTTGATTCCATTCGCTCTGATTAAGGCGTGCCCTGTTCTATCTTTTCATGGTCTCATCTTTCCATCCCCTGCACCTGTTAATCTCTGGGTTATCTCTCTCACAAAAATGCCAAAGAACTAGGAAAGCAGGGAGCAAAGCATCTCTTATATCAAAGATTGTATTTTTTTCTCAGTGCACTCACAATAGCTGGGGCACCATGCCACCATTACTTTTCTCCCAAGGAGTGCAAATGACTTCTCACGCAGAGCAGATATGACTTATGTTCATGGAAATCTTTGTTGTGGGGGGCTTTTATCTTCTTCTCTATCATGTTGATACACTTGACTTGTTTTTTAACCCAGCATGCGCCTGCTGTTTATCAAAGCTTTTTAAGTTGTGAGGAATTTCATTCAGCATCTACAGTGCAAGTTTCTAGATTATACTTGGTAACATTTTACCCTTTTTCAGTGTTCAGCAGTTTGTAAACTTTTGTCACTTATGCTGTCATATTTAAAGACAATCAATCACAAGACAATTTATTTTCTCATTTCTTTCAACAAAGCAATAACAAAGGGCATTCTTTGCCAATGATTCACAGTCACACTTGCAACATATCAGGACAGGTTTAAAAAAATAGGTTTCTGTCATTCTTACCAGCCACAGCATCCATAGAACCATCAAAGCTTGATTTGGATAATTCTATTTATACTATCTATATCGACTTTATATTATTATTTATCCAGGTTACACATTCTTGATATGGTTTGATAATATATTTTTAAAGAGTTTCTTCTAAGAGTTGAATTTAGGAGTATTTGAAATTAATACTAATTCACAAATTTTCAGAAAAATCTTCATTATACTGACTCACACACATACAATAATTGTCAAGAGCTTGTGATAAATTTAGTTTGGCAGTTTGATAATAAGTGAAGTTTTATTTCAAATAGCTTTCTTCTCTTTTCAATCTTAACTTGGCACAGCACGTTTCCACAACTGTCAAAATAAACCCTCAACAATGAGCTGCCAAGCTGAATCTAGGAGACACACAAAAGTCAAGATATTAACTGCTTCAAATTGGTAGAAATTGAAGCAAAACACTCTCATGCATTAAGTACTTATTCTTCATCCATTTTCTTAACTGTTCCTACTAGGCTCCATCCAAAGAGACACTCCAAAATGTACAGGCAGTCCCTAAAAGCTTCAACTTAGGCTAATTACTACTGTTTGTTTTTCTAATATATTCATCTGATTTCCTGAGAAGCTGATGTTTTAATAGGATGTCAAACATCCTGCAAGCAGGTGGTCTAATTTTTTCTTGATAAAAAAATAGTACTGGTAAAAAGTTCTTATACACCTTGTAAAGTTCACTCCATGATAGATGCACAGAGAGACACTGGTAGTAAATTCATTAGCTGCTGACTGCTACATCTTAGTTTATGAATACATGTGTCATGCTGTGAACTCACTGGTCTGTATATATGAACTTGTGCCCATGAGTTACAAGCAAAATTGCTTTAAAAGAGAGGAGGAGAGAGGAGGCTGCAGTGAGGAGTGGAAAAGTCAGACAACAAAACATCCGGATCTCAGAAGACAAGACTGAATTGAAAGTGAGCAGTGTTTCACGTACTGGGTCACTTTCCCATACACCAAACTCTGTGGGTTTTAGGTCTTCACAGCCAGATCACAAAAAGCTGGTGATTTAATGCCCAAAATGTAGCTGTATATACTACTTCCTAAAACCTCCCACATTTCATTTTGTTAGAATGTTTAACCCAAAGAAAAAGACTTGCAGTTGCTGAGACTTCAGAAGCTTGTGCATTTGCAAATCTTTGTTTTGGTCAATTTTCAAAGCAACATTGTTTTTTTACTTTCAGATAGCAGAGAAAGATTCAGGATGACAACTTAAAACAGACGAGAAAAAACTTAAAAGTACAGAATTACTATAAGGACACAAGATGCCTTTATCGGAGAAAAAAGTGTGTGGATGCAGAATCCGCTTCAACTCCTTTTGGTGCATCTGGTATTGCGCCATTGTGCTGATTGCACAAGGATACCTGACCTACCTGGCCGTTAGCAGGTACTCAGCATTCAAAAGTTTACATTGGAAAGAAGATGAAATGCCATCTTTGGAATTCACCTCCTATGTTGCTCTTATTGCACTATCACTGCTGTGTTTGCCATTTTTTGCGTTGGCTGCCATATTCAAAGTGGAAAATTATGCCAATGACGGTGTTAGGCTTGGAGAAGAAATTTTAAGCAAGAAGGAGGCACGTCTTAGATATTTGGAGACAAGATTTGGAAAGCGTTTCTGGCAGCAGATGGGTCCTGTGGCACAAACTCTCCACATTGGAGCAGCTTTTTGTCTGCTGCTGCCCCATGTTCTCCTGCAGGCTCAGGAGATAAAGCATGGATATCTCAGTGAAGGTGAGTGGTCATACCTATAGCTACACAGAAGAGAATTCAAATTACTAAAGAGAATTCAAATTATTCCACTAAATAAATAATAATGCCAAAAAAGCGTTTGGCACACAAATGCCACCTAACTGCTGAGGTCTAATTTATGTAGTATGTGCATTTTGCAAAAAAAAAAAAAAAAAAAAAAACTTCTTATCTAAACAGAAATATGACCCCCTGGTGGACTTTTCTTCTATTCTTAAAAAGTTATGGTGAGTACTAATAGTTTTTTTTCTGACCAATAATTTAGTTTTTCAGGCCATTTCCATACATGAACAATAAAAGACAAAGTTATTTTAACCCAAGAACATATCTGTGTGAATGAAAGTGTAGGCTATTTTCATGTCTTGCACATTTAACAACAAACACTACCATTCTCAAACAAAACATTTAAAATTACAACACAAAACATATATTCTTTCAAATGCATCATTTCTTCCCTAATATCAGAAAAGGGAGGAGCAGCACATTAAGTTTGATTTATAGGTTCAACCGGTCCAAGTGCTTCATAAAATGCCATAACAACATCATAGTTCTGATAATGTTATATTCACTTTAAGGATCACATTATAAATCAAATTAGTATATCTCAAAATCAATTAAGTGAACTGTTATTATTTGGCACCACCCTGCATTGTATCCAAACAGATGAGTTATGAGATGCTGGCTGTCGGTACAGACCATTATGTTCATTAGAATGAAATCACACACCCTGTTCAAATGTCCTTGTACAGCTATTGTCAAAGAGCAAATTTATTGTCACTTTAAATTGATCACTTTTTAAGAATATAAAATGGGAAAGTTTTCTTTTTTATTGGACATGTACTTGCTGCTTTACCTGTGTATTGAAGTTGAATTCCATTTCCAGTTTACGTAGTTTACATCAAGTATGTAAACACTCAAAAGTATATTAATATACTCGGTGTGTAATGAACAAAACTCAACAACCTGGGAAATGTCCAATATTTTGTAAGATAGCTATGCATGGCTGCAGGAAAAAAAAAACACCTCAAATACTAGAAAATTGACAAACATCCACGTTTTGGATTCTGCTGTTCACGCAAAGCACAGTTCATGTTTTTTTTTTCTGATAAGACCTTAATTGGATTTTGTTTAAACTTATTTAGCATAATAGTTGGTAAAATCTCAGCTGGGTTTAAGGCAATTACATCTGAAAAAAATCAGGAAGCCAGACAAGATACACCTCTTTAGTATAAGCATTTTCAGCTGGAACTTCCTTTGAAGGGAAACAGTGTTGACCTTTTTGAAGAGAGACTCTAGATCTTATTCATAAAGTTGAATACTTGAATACTTGAAATTATTTGTCATTTTTCTTGCTGTTGTACTATTGCTGGTTGATGTGGTTGATGTTAATTCTGCGTTTACAATAACACATTTAGAAATTGAATGATTACAATTTGTCAATCAGACCAAAAAATATGATTTACCAAAAAAGGAAAATAATTGATCGGAGTGACAATTTGCAGATTTATTAATATCATTGTAAGAGTTGAGTTGCTACCCACGATAATACCTTTTCAGACATTCAGACATTTCAGACATTGCTAAAACATATAATCAGATGAAACCTTCTCACTGTCCATATCAAGAGGTAAAAATAAAATAAATGACGTTCATGGCCCAAAATTGAGTTCGACTCCCACTGACCCTTGGTATGTCTATACTGAACACAGGTGAGATACCTGCTATAATGAGACCTTTAAAATATTATTTATAGCACAAATAAGAGTCCTGGCACACTATTGATAGTCTTATATGTACTAAGACCCCCCATTTTCCAATGCCCTATAGCCAAATGGCTTACGTTATGGCAGAAGGGTAATCCTCCGCTTCATACAATGGTTGTGTAATACAAAACACACAACTTTTCCACCTGGTTAAATAGCAACAGTGCCAAACTGTTATTTAAGCTTCAGAAGTTAGTCAGACATGAACATTTCTTCAAAAGTATCCCTTTAGTTAATGATTTCATTCCATAATCGAGATTAATTCTCTTGCTTGGAGAAGGTACATGTCATGTATGGGTAGCATCAAGACCTTCTGCCGTGATAGCAACAGTGCAAAGCAACTAAGACGGTGGCCTGATTTTGATACATAAAAAATTGCAGAATGTTCATCTAAAAAGCTAAAAAAAATTCTTCAGAAGTAATCAAGTAACACTGTCAGTGTTCACCTATGGTCTAAATGAAAGTTGTAACACACCTATTACTCCCCCCTCCTAGTTTATTTTAACAGTCATCCAAGAAATGAAAACAGCGTTCATACCTTAATTACTGAAACTGTTTGTAGAAGTTAACTAAAACTGTACCTATGTGTGCAATAATCACCAATGCTGAGTTGGTGAAAAGAAAGTGTGATAGAAAAACAGCTTCCATCTGTGTTCCTTGTAAACAGATATCAGAGGAGGTCTGAAATCTTGCTGGGGGTGAAGTACTATTCAAATTTATTTCAATTTCCAGACTATTGACAGAATAGATAAGAAAAATGTGAAACAGCACCACACACTTCCTTGTGGATGTAGTGTACTTTAGGAAGGGTGCATTCACATAAACACTTCAACCAAATTAACTTATATCTTCTGAGGTTTTTTGTTGACTTTGAAAATAGTTTTTGCACTCACATATGCTAAGAATTTTACAGATATGTTAGGAAGTGAGGGCAGAAAAAAAACACACCCATCAAACACCTTAAGTATTTGATCTTATTTTACCTTATTTTGTTTCAAATCTTTTTTATTGCACATTTTATGTCCTGAAATTCCTGAGAAAAGAACTGCATACCTGTTGTACACATACCACTGTTAGACATTTTCCAGTGCTATTTGTATCCATGTGAGATATTTTTGAAAGTGAAATAAAGACTCCAGGTTTATTAAAAACACAATATCTGTCATGAATCAGAGCTATACTGGCAATGGAGACGAGCTCTTGACAAGATGAACCTGAAGAGTAAAGATCTGTTCACATTCACTGAAATTATTGTTGTCTAAACTACAAATATATATGAAAACATTAATTTAGTCATTTTTTCTATCATGGCTACATGTGCCTCTGACTTTGCTGACTTTCACTGATGTTCTTAAATACTTATTTAGTATTTAAGAAAAGTTATTTTAATCATAGTGCTAGTAACTTGACAATGAACATCACATTTTAATGCTTGATATTAATTCAGTTTAGACATTTACATTTCCTTTCAACTAGTTCCCAAGTTCCCATGAAATATGAACAGGTGTAGACTGGCAAAACAGAAAAGATCCATTGTCATCTGACTTCTGTTTCTATGCTGTGAACAGGTGATCAGTCTTTCACTCTGGTCTGGGAAAAGACAGCAAACATTTTCATACAAATATACATTTAGTCTCAGTGAGAGGGTGCAGCAAGTGAACCATATCTTAAAAGTGACCAAACTTTGGCAACTGTTGACCAGTCACTTTCACTGCACTGACACATTCTGACAACTTCATTATGGTATTGAAAAGAAGTTCAGGTCCAAATGCATATACTATGACATTCATCAATTTCTGAAACAGATTTCACCCAAAAAATATCCTTTTACCTATTTATCTTCAAGCTAGAAAAGACAAATATTCCTGTTTAATTATTGTTTTTATTTTTATTATAACCTCATAAAAAGGTATTTGATGTACTTCTGGAAAGTTGTTTGCTTATTTGTCAACATTTTCAAATTGATACAGTTTCTAGGCTAGAAATGCGCCCAAAGTTTTAAAGGACACTGTCCAAAATGGGTAGAGTCTGATAGTAGAGAGGCGAGTCTTCGATGTCCTCTGAAACTATGAAGGTTGACAAAAAGAGACGTAATTTATGCAAGACTGAACCCAGTGTGTAGTATCTGGTACTAAAGGATTGGAAATGTTATGTGTTTTACAATGAATCTAATTACATCTGATTTGCCATTGGGACCCACTGGGTGATTAATGATAGGAACTATCCTGTGTGTGTAATAAGCTGTGTGGAGACCCAACTCAATACACAGTGTGTGTGTATGTGTGTGGCAGGTGCTCTTCATGGGCTTCTCTTTGTTCCAAACAATCATGATGCAATGGCTATGTCCCTTCTACTGAGTTGATTGAACTCAATGCCCTTGTCTTCATCATGAAATATATTTCTTTCAAATGTCTGGATTACAACAGAAAAGTCTGCATGGTTCATTTAAATTGGTGTTTGTTTCACTTTTTATTTTTGTCTAATTTTTGCATTATTTTACCTGTTTATTCAATTTTTCATATTAAAATATTAACAAACCTAGTAGCATTATAACTCGTTTTCTACTATATGTATGTGAAAATGTTTTGTTTTTTTTGTTTTTCATCAAAATCATAATTGTTCCAACTTCCAAAGAATACAGTCAATTTTTATTTTTACTTTTCCAGTCAATATGTGGGCAACAGACCTGGATGTGCTTTTTATCAGAGACAAAATACCACAGTTTTGGGCCTTTTCACAAAAAGCCTCTACCAACTTAACTACAAACTCCACACTTGAGATGATCACAGTGAATGTGACCACAGAGGCTCCACCTACTGGTGTGCCATGGAATCACCAGAGCAGCCCATCTTTTGAGTTTATAAACTTCGCCGCAGCTTTGATATTATACAACATTCGTTACCCTGCAGTTTTCTGGACAACACACAAGTTACTGACGGTGTTATTCTCTGGTCAGTTGTTCCTAGCCACTGTGTTGCATCTGTTTTCTTTTTGTGGATTTGCTGTGACGTACAAACTACAAGTGAACAATCATCTGCACCAAGGACTGGAGCTCTCTATGAGTCATGGCGGCACAGCAGTAGCATACATTTTAGGAAACGGCATTGTGTTTTTCTCCTCAATCACCATTTTTAAATATGGATACCTATTTTACAATGAACAATTTATTAAAATGCACAGAAACTACCATGCTTTCTTAAAATATGCCATGAAGAATACATGTGAAGGATATATTCCTCACACAGCAGCCATGGTTATGATGGTGTTATCCTTGGCATGTAAGGGACCAGTGTTTTACGACTACGTCACAACATACAGGATGACAGGAGATCCTCTCATTCTGACCTGTATTGTTATGGATGCCATGTACATGATGGCATGGATGATTCTTTGGTTTGTGTTTACTCTGAAACAGACATGGAAGTTTGCAATCCGGCAGCCTGGCAATGCCAAGAACTCTGTTTATACAATTCACAACAGTCACATTGAAACACAGCTTATGAGTGAGGAGGAAAGGAGAAATAATGAGGAGCCAACACCATCTATGAATTCATCCATTGACACTGACCATGATACAGTAGATGGAGAGGTGACGGTGGCTTTAAGTTCAGCAGACGGCACTGGGAATTCATCAACTGGCTCTGACAGTAACAGGGGATCTCCACAAGATGGCTGCTCCTCAGACAATCAAAACACACAAAATACTGGAGCTTTAAGAAAGAAAATAAAACAAAAGAGGACTTCAGGGCATAAAGTGACATTTGAGGAGCCCATTGCACCAAACCCTATGTACATGGACAATACCCCGCCTCCCCCTAAACCACCCCGCTCCCATCAGGTGCAACAAGGGGAACAAATAGCTGTGGAAGTGGATGTCCACGCACAGCTGCACCACAGAGAACATGACAAGCCTGCTAAGAACACAGGCAATCCAGATTCCTCAAATAATTTTCAAAGGCAATCTAACGACAGGAGATCAAAAGGTGACAGGCAGGGTATTGGCGAGCCTTCACCTGAGACATCTGTGACACACGCGGACAGTAGAAATCAGAGTCAGTATGATGACAAAAGTGGACAACACCAGCCACACCGTCCTAATCAGCAGGAAAGACGTCCGTCCTGTCCAAATACAGCCAACATGACATCCAAATTATTACCAGGAGATCAACTAGAACACAGTTACATTCCTGAAATCATAGAACAAAACTATGACCAGGTAAACAGGACATATGTTCATGATGAATCTCCATTAGTTCCCAACTTCAGGGAGCAAGACTTTCGGGAACATACACCACAACCTGTGCCTGGGACTTCATACACAACAGGTCCAGCACCTCAAGATAGCATGATGAGGCCTTACTCTCCACACGCCATGGCTCAAAACAATAGTGGACCATACACACCACAGACAGACTATTTATTACCACAGACAGGTGTTAACAGGCCTTTCACACCCCAAAATACTCATACTTCAACCTACATGCCAAATGGACATGCCAAGCCAAATCCAGACTATATAGAAATGCGTGGAGGCAATCAAACTAAGCCATTTGAGTTCAGACATCTACAGATTGTTCCAAAGAAACATGAAATGGGCAGACGAGATTCAGCTAATTACTCGTTGACATCTTCACAAGAGACGTCATCGAATAACTCGGACAATGTTCCAGCCTTGTGTAGTGAGGTTTAACATGGAGCAATCTGGAGAAAAATATTCTTTATATTATGATTTATGAATAATAATACTGCAAAAAAAAAAGTACACAATAGAAAAATTCCATGTATTGTGATGTTTTTATTGGACTGACAATACAAAGCTCATAAGACTTATAGGCTCATTTCACACTGAGAGTGGGGTATCTTAATTAAATTAAACCATGGAGCATATGGAAGAAGTTTAATTTTGTAGGTGAACTCTGATTTAAACAAAAATATTTATAGATAGATGTTAGGGAAAATATGAAAGTTAAAAGTGTGCAATTACTTAAAAATACACATAGTTAATAGCTGTACTGTATTATAAGGATAGGCTATATATATGATGTTATATATGCATTATGCCAAATGGAGTATCACCAAAGTTAAACATATCTCAATGTACATATAATTGTAAATAATATTTGGCACCACACCTATGCCATCAAAATGTTGGTTCCTAGCAGCTTTTTTTTTTTTCATTTCTATACTTTTTTTATCAATTGAGATTCATTTCTTGGTGGTAGTCTTCAAAAGTGACAGAACCTTTCCACAAAATTTATAATGTGGTGCCACATATCTTGGACGAAATCTTTTCAGGAAGGAAAATAATTATTTTAAATTTGTAAATGAGGTTAATGAAATGTCAGAATTTTTATTGACTACAATACTTGAAATGTCAGATAAATCTGATTAAGAATAAAACTGTATATATAACAAATGTAACAAGTAGGTCTAAAAGCAATGTGTTGTATTTACCACATTTGTATAGCGATGACATGCTGAGATCTATAGAAGTTTGAGTATTTGCAGCACTAGGATATACCTAGCTCTTTGACTGGTCACCATTTAGAAGCTTAAAGCTGAGAACTTCATATTTCAGATGCAAGTTCTTTGCTTCAAATTGCCAAAGAAATGTAAAATAAAGTAAGCAAAAAATAAGTTAAATAAATAAATTTATTTTCTTTCTCTTGTTAAGTTGTTATGAATATAGTCTTTTAAATCATATAAAGACATTAACATTCCTCAATAAGTTAATTAAATTTACATCCATCATGTTCCAAGTCAATTTATTCACTTTTGCTTAAAATAACATTTCAAAATTGTTCAATTTTCAAGTTCAACCATACAACATTTCCTCTGTGACTTTTGCAACTAGTATGCATTAGACACATGCAAAACTGAGCAGTGACATCTTTAAATTTAGATATTCTAAAATGGAAGCCTGAATGTTCTGCTGGTTAAAAGTGGCACTGGAATCCATCCACTTACCACACCAAAGACATATGTCACATATTTGATTTTGTCTCCCACTTTTGTTTGGGTTGAAAACTGAAACATGAAAAACGTGATGCTTATAGAGAGGAAACTGAAAATGATAATATTTTTCAGCTTCAAATAGGTTATCATTTGTCAAGGTTAATGTAAATATTCTCATTTGAATTAATACACAAGAAAAACTTTATTGGATAAAGCTAAAACTTGCACAAACATTTTGAAAAAGAAAATCTAATCCAGTCAGAGCTATAGTGAAAGTTACTTAAAGATATATTTCATCAAATAAAAAAATAATAATTTAGTTCAAAGAAATGACTCTTACACCCAGTGAAGCTTCTTTTTCTTCCTGGACACAGCCGATTCCTCTCCTTCCTTTAAAATAAAGTTTCAGTGTTAGTATCATTAGCTAAATACAATAATTTAAGTATCATGTTCACTTGCATACTTTTTTATTTAATAAATGATAAAAGTGAGAAAATAACACAAAGAATTAAACTGTTAAAATGTCTCAAAGAAGTGACTTTTGAATTTACCTTTTTGGCCTCTACAAACTTCTTAGCATCTATTGCATCTGCTATCTTCTTTCCAAACTGAAACAGTTATAAGAACACAATCATCTCATTTGCCTCTTGGTGGCAGCACCTGCTTGTTCACAGGTCAAGAAACAGCACCTGCCAGATGGCAGCACTAGTAATCAAAACAAACACTGCCTTGACCTAAATGGACCAACGGAATGGTAAGTTCCGTGAGTACATACATTTAGTATTGTATAAGCTTCAAATATGCTTTCTAAAGTGGTCAATATTTTTAAGTATGTCAACAATGCAGCTGTGTGTACATACTCATGTGCATAAGCACTGTGGATAGGAAAGTTTCAAGACCACCTCTTAAAAATTGTAACCACACAGTAAAAGGTACAGGTATAGTGCCCATAAATGGAGTCTGGGGAGTATCAACTGACTTTCAGTACATGCATCTAGCAAGATATTCTTACAGAGGCACACAGATATTTAATCAAGCCCATGTTAAATGTATTCCACTACTTGTATTTTATAGACTAACAATTAAAATGAATGCAATTCAGCAAATTGAAAGCCCTGTGTTTCAAAACCAATAATAACGCTTACAACTGATGTCGGAACATTTATCTATAACTCAATCCTCATTTTTTTCAGAGGCCGAAGATCACGTAAGCACCAGACACAGATGCTGTAGCAATGTTGCTTAGGCTACTTCATTATCAAGGGCACCCTGCAAACACCTGATATGCTTCCCTCAGACATACGACACCATGCCAGGCCAGATTTTCCTGCAGAGATGAAAACTGTTCTCTTTGGTGAATCAGGGACACTTATAAACCAAGTAATATTGACAAGAACTCCACAACTACCATCATGTCAGAAAAGAAACCAACAGTCGAGGCCTTTACAACGTGGACGAAGCCAGTGGTATCAAGGAAGCCACTGTCCTCAACAATATCCACATAGCTCTGAACAGTAAGCCATTTGCAAATAGACCAGCACCCGCAAGATATCTGCACAAGCCTTATTAAACACAATAACAATTGGCATTAACAGTGATTACAGTGATTCTTACTGCACCAGTTCTGTGATAGAAAGTTTGACATTCTGTGTGGTTTAAGTGTGCCTAAACCTTAGCAACACCAAATAAACCGATTGCCCTGCATTTCTTGTTAAGGTCAAGCACGTTTACCATTTGCAAGAATACATTCATTGTTATATCTCCCACCTTTTTTTCTAATCACGTCCATAGAAGGGTAAGTTTCTTGCATTTTGATTTTCTCAATCAACAAACATAATTTTCATGACATTTTGTTTTTAAATGTGAAAATAGTTTCATTGGATCTCAGTTTTGTAAGTCAGAAAGTTTTCATTTGTGATAGATCCAGATATTTGATTTGCCTGTTGAACAGTCAACAGGTAAATCAAATATCTGGATCTATCATAAATGAAAACTTTCTGACCATTTTGTTTTTGTTGTTGTCATTGTTGATGTTCTTTAATGCTGTGTGCTGTGTTCTATTGTGTTTTGAATAATCTGAAATTCTTGGAGCTTAATTAATTTTGTACTTGTGTGTGTCTATCTACTTCCCCTCTCCTTTACCTTTTGACTTGACTGAAGACTTTGTGTGGTAATGTTAGTATAGGAACAATATATTCATGCAAATTCCCTTTCTTTTATAACAGTTTCTGACTATCAACTATTTGATTAATTTCTGTTGAATTCCCGTTGAAGTGTAAATACGTACAATACTGAAAGTACTCTATCCATTTCCAATACAAAAAAAGATGAATGATCAAAAATATTTCACATTTTACATGCATGTAGAGACCTGAAGTTATTTGGACAATGAAACAGTAGATTTAAAACAACTAGCAAATTGCCAAACATCGTAATTGTGTTTTTTGAACATTCACAACTAACGCAATTTCCTATCTCTCATTGAAAAGGTGGAATGTCGCAACACATCTGTTCCATATGATACATATATTCATAGAGTCCTACAGTTTGATGATAATTTTACAAATCAAACAACTTTAGTGAATAAAAACACATTTTTAAGTCTATTCAAAAATATTTATAACACCAAACACAATGCAACCTTTCCAAGGCAATCTCAGATATGGCAAAAAAAAAAAAAAAAAACTAGCCTGACAATATAACCATCTTCTTCATCTAGACACCCGGAGTCTCAGATGGACAGCTTGTACCCCAGTATTTACCACACCCTAGATATCCACACTCAGGTCCTGACAGCTGTCACCCATAACTCTACCTCAGAGCTGCACCATCTGCTGGAGAGAGGCGCCAAAGTCAATGCCAGAATACAACAGCTGGGAGGGAACACAGCATTACACATAGCAGCTAAGAAGGGGCATGAGGAATGTCTGGCTATACTGCTAAATGCAGGTGTGTGTGTGTGTGTGTGTGTGTGTGTGTGTCTATGTGTGTGTGTGTGTAATAAACAGCAGGTTAAGTAGTTAACAATGTATGCCTGATGAAATTAAAGATGCATTTGAAAGAGTTTGTAAAAATAATAACATAAATGGACAATAACAATATTATGTCATGATACTGGACAATACGCTGTGCCATTTGCATCATATCTAAATGATCCTACATTTCAGAAATTTATATTATGGAAAAAAATATATGCATCAATATTCTGAAAAATAATTGATCAGCAATGATCAAATAAATATATTTTAAAAAAATCAATCACTTAGTCCTAAAAGCCGACCACTAAATTACCGATTAAATTATGGTATGCTGAAAAAAATACCTGCATCATTAAAATTCATTATGCTTCCATATATAGAAGACAAATTATGAGAAAAGTCTGGCAAGAAAAAATTGAGTTTTAATATTTCTCACAAATCTGGGACAAGTGCAAAGATAGCATTCTGGTTCATAAAACCTACAAAGAGCCTGCAATCAATACCTTTCATAAAGTATAATCCCTGAGCCATTAATCATTATTTGACCTTTCATTGATGTGAAATAAAATATTTGCTGAGTTGACAACAGCACTAGACTTGCATGGATCAATACACCAGTATAAGCATTACTGATAATGTCGACTTACACACTTCTGATATAATCCACTCTTTGAAGTTATAATAATAACTATGAATTTCATATTATTATAAATACCAACAAGTATGTGTTGCCTTTCCATGTAAATCTTCAGTTGTGAAATTTAACACAATAGTGTCTCTGGGGTGTCTCCAAATTGTTTTATCTCGGCCTATTCACATACATTGGCAAACTGCAAAAATCATTAAAGGTCTATTATAATTATAAAGATAAATGAAACCAGTTAAGTGTTGACCCTGGCTACTGCTGAATACGGCTGAGCTAATTAACACAGGCCACTGGAAAATGGCACAGCGCAGTTGTTCGGCTTACAGTTGGAGACCTCCGCCTCCAAAGTTTGAGTTAACAAGATGGAGTGCTAACCCTTCGAGATCTAAACTTCAGTCTAGTTCAAAGAGAAGTAAGTTATTTAGGATGAAAACGACCTGCTGCAAGCAAACACTTACAGCAGTGCAGTTGACTGCTACAAGCAGAGCAGTCTAGCAGTACTATTAACTGCTGCAAACACACTGGTGTCTCATCTAGTCGCTCTTTTTGCCATGTTTTGTTTATGACTAAACACGTTGAGCATTTTCCATGAAAAATGCCTCACCTGTGCAGCATAATGTTCTTTATAATATTCAAGTCAATGAATTTTGAAAACATTACATTTTATTTGTTTTATTTATTTATTTTTTTGTCAAATTTAAGGAGCTAAGGGAGACAAGACCAATGACTTGGGATTCACACCACTCTACTATGCACTTCTCAAAGGTTACCTACACTGTGCCGAGATGCTGCTGGGCAATGGCGACTCTCCTAGGACCCTTACCCCATTCTGGAAAGCCAAAGACAAACAGGGAATGCCACAATGGCTGAAGTATACCATAGCAACAAAGAGATTTCTGATCATGGCTACACCCAGTGTCTCCTCATTAGGCATCGAGATAAATGGCTGGTTGTTCTCAGCTTTTCTACAAATCCCAGACATGTTTTCTGCTGTGAAAATGTACCTCCTAACAGGCAACAGGCTCAGCCATGCTCAACTTTTACAAGTGAAAGCATTGTGTTCCAAGGAACAAGATGCAGGGAAAAAATTAGAGTGGCTGGACAACTACGAACAGAATGTTCTCACACTCCAGGAATGTTCCAGAATAGCCATAAGGAAACATTTAGTTCCCAATGTTGTGTATGGAGCGAAGCATTTGAGAGTGCCAAACAGAGTCAAAGAATATATCCTCTTCAAGCACTCACAAATTTAGGAATAACTGTGTTAATTTATAGAATGTGTTTTTAATAAGCAGTTACAACACGTCCAGTGCCATTTGTGTAGTACTAGTATTTTATGCAAATAACATGTTTTTATGAGTACACCTATTTTGACAGTTTTAAACAGAACAAATGGGTTTGATGTACTGGTAATCAAAATATCCTACTGTATTCTACTTCCACATTTTATATCAGATGTCCATTTTTGCATACTGTGATTTTTTCACCTCTGCAATTGTGATAATATCAACCTCCATCCAATAGTATAGCAAGTTTTTTAAGATCTGCAAATTTTTACTAACAACATTAAACAATATTTAATAATCATATGAATAATTCATGATATAAATGATTTCACTGATAATGTGATTCACAAGTATTTCAACAGGTACACCTGTACATAAGTTGTAAACCAACTGTAATAAAAGTTACACAAATAGGTCTTTCATATACCATCTTACCTCCCTGTTGGCTAATTTATCACTTAGTTTCTCTGCAGTTTCAAAGTCTCCTTGTTTCACGCACAAATCAATGTCTTCCAGTTTTGTCTATAAAAATACAGGTACTGAAGGTCATTCTTAATTCTTGAAATTGAATATTTGCAACTCCATATTAAACATCAAAATAAATGTAAAAACATTCATTTCTTCCAAATCAATCAATGTCCACTTGATTTTATTCCAATATTTTCACTGAACTGAAGATCAGATCATTAATTTTAAACTTTTAAAGATGGAAAATATCAGATATGACTTCAGTGCTCAGGAAGAACAATGAAAATGGTTACTTGTGATAGAGAAAGAGACAACAGTTTTGCATATGGTAAAAACAAAATCAAAGAGGAAAGCCACACAGACAGCTGGCAAGCATACAACAAACAAAATTAATGATTTTTCAATAACTGACCTTTGGCGCGTGTTTGCCTAGATCTGTTCCCTTCAAGTGATCACTGGCTCCCAGATATTGCTTGATATTTTGCCACTCTTCTTGTTCACTGCAACTTGCAGTTCTCCTAAAAGACAAATTCAACAATTATCAAATATTGGTTAAAAAATAAGTAGTGTCTGAAGACACAAGACATGTTTTTTTTTCGCCTACAAGGTATGACGTTCTGACATGACAATAAGACCCCTGAATTAAAGCCTCATAAGTGGAAAAACATATTAGGTTTTTTATTAGTTTTTCTACAATCAATACACAAGAGACCATGAAAATTTTATTTTATCACATTATAAAATATCTTTATCTTTGTTACAGTAAATATAACAGGACAGGTAACAAAACACTGAAGTAAATATCTATCCTCATTCAACTAATGGTACACAGCCAAAGTTTGCTCTGTCACCATGCCAATTCAGGAGATGTGAAGTCAAATTTACTTGTCAACTGTGATATCAAAAAGCAAACCAATTCATGTGTCCACTTACTACCATATATATATTTATTTTTCATTGTTGTTTATCAAACCTTGTTTAATGTATCAATGCTTTTAACTTAAACATTACAACATATAAACTCATGAAAAGTACGCTTTTCCAGAGCTTTCATATGTTTAAATGTTTTTACATGAATTTTACCACAAAATAATACAAAAACCTTAAATTCCATACCCTAGAATTTGATATTCTTCTGTACTTGAATGCTTTCTTTTTTTCTTCTCAGTGTTCCCAGTTTCTTGGTTTGGTCTGCCTGGTATCCTAACATTGTGCTTTCTCATTATGTTTATGTCTTCGGGATGTTGGATCTCTGCTGACACTGAAAAGAAATAAGAATATTGCAACTTTTATCTACCATCTGTTTTGTTCTTTATATACTCTTGAAAACTATAGACACTTAAAATCAGAATGCAAGGTATGTTTTCTTAAAATATCTTTAACTTTATCTTTAACTTTAAAGGTCAGGTCTCAAGAATTCGCCCAAAATGATTTTAAATTAAGTAAATAAATTAGGAAAGGGGTGTTAGATAACATTAAACAGATTTCTTGTAAATATTACACCAATGACACCATGCAGAAGATGCACAAAAACTTCAAAACTTCATACTGACTACTATACATCTTATGCCCACCTGTTTAGATCATTCATAAACATCATTATATACCTTTTTGTAAGACGTTCTTTTGCAAATCCCTGATACGTTTTTCCGTTGATTTTCTTGACATATCTTCTCTTCTTTTGCGCAGAGCTTGAAATTTCTAAAACAATAAGAGATAATGAGTTTCATAATACATAAATGGAAAGAAACTGGTAATGATATATACTAAACCCAACTTCCTAAAAGATATCTTTGGCAACATATAGTCCTCGTTTTCAGTTAAGATCAGTACCTTTTATAACTGTGCAACATTTTTTTCTAAAAGCATTAAGGTTGAAATGTTTATATGTTCAGATGTCCATAAATGTATATATTCTCTTATTTAGTGTATTTAAATAATGCAGGTTACTTTAATATAGAATGTAAAGAAAAAACTTTGTCTTTAGAGAAGACAGAAGGCAAACGAATTACAAAAGTTTACTTTTCTATATTACAATTATCTTGAAAATCATATTTATCAATAAACTACAAATAATCACTCCTAGTGATAAGGTTGCTTTCAGCTACCTCCCATGCTTGCTGTGAAATATTTTTTGGTCTTTCAGTTGAATCAGATGTGTCATGATTTTTCTTGTTTACTTCAGGCGCAGAGACTTTATCGTCACCGTTGTTCGCTTTCGGCCCATTATCTTCACTAGCATTGTTGAAAACATCACATCTTAAATCATCTTTGGTTGGCGGTGGTACTCTAGAGTACATTTTCCTTCAACCGTTTCATATAACGCTCTCAGGGCGAAATAGCCAAACCATAACAAATGCACATGTTATTCTCCGCCATTTTGACCTTATGTAGGGCAAGGTTGCAGATCAAGGTGAAACATTGAAAATTAGCTCCAATATTCAAACAAATTTTTACTGTGCTAAGACCTTTATGCGTTGCAGAAATCAACAACAACTAGCCCCAAAACGTCCGTTTATGTTTTTTACGATATTTATAATCAGATATCCACAGTGCTAGGGAAAAGTGCCCCCTCCCCCTTTCTCGGGCTGCGCAGTGATATCCAACACACGCCGCGTACGGGTGTACAATTTATGACGCGTGGTTCGGCTGATTAACGCACCTGTTGGATGTAGAACTCTACGTTGAAGCCTGGATAACAAGGAAAGTTGACGTAGAAGAACCCAGTTAGCATTTGATTTTCGTTTCAAACAACGGTAGGTAAGTTTCCACGCATGCTCATACCCACAGACATTAAATTTCTTTCTCTTTTTGTCTATGCGTTGCACTGTCTTGTCTTAGTCGGTGTCCCACGACCTGTAACTTGTTAGACTATCTCAGCCACAGCTGCTGTTATACACTATATATAGGCACTGGCAGTGGGGGGAGTCTGGAAGGTTGCGAGTGAATACAGACCGTGAACAAACTTATTCTACAGGGCTGTTCTTCTTGTATTGAACTGTCGACCATAAAGAGTTTACGGTATACTTTATTGAAGTTAACAGAACCAACTGGTGCGGTGGAATTATTAGTATATTACCCTCACCCTAATTTGATGTATCATACTACGAAATTGTGACCGAATATTTCATAAATTTTTACAAAATATATATTTGTTATGCATGTCATTTTCATTATCGATTAAGTATTTTTGTAGAAATTTAAGATACGACACACAGTAGTTTATTTTTATTTTTATTTTTTTGGGGGGAGGGGGGGTTAGGGTGCATGACAACTATCCGAAGGTTCACTATAGAACTTTCAGATCAACAAACCCTTTTATAAAAAACTGATGAATATGTTACAATTTTTTGGACCAGTGAACCTTCAGACTATAGAGGAGTGCCTGATTTTTATATGCCTTATAAACATAACATAAAGTAAGCATATTTCCTTGCATATCATTCATTTAAGGAACAACGTCAGTACATGATGAAAGTATCACATGAAGATTTACTGAAGAGATTTTCTCCTTATGTCCTTATGATATCAATTTCTATTGAACTTTTGGAACTGTTATTGAAAGCTGGAAATTATAAGCCACATTTTGCTTGTTGTCACTTTTCTGAATATTTGTGAGTGATATGCCTGTTTAGTTTTCATAAGTGTAGAAATGTCTTTTATACTTTGTAGGTCGCAATATTTTTTTCCATCTTTACTCTTATAATTGTATATTGCAGTTCTAATCTCGGCTATATTTAGGGTTGAATGAGTACACCTGGATTAATCATATTTGCCATAGAAAAGATTCCAGTCCAAAACCATGTGAATTCCTTATGCATTATTTCATATCGTTTGATGTTGATAGAACTTTTGAAGGATGGTATACATGGAAAGTAAATATTCATTGTCCCTGTGAATAAGTATGATTTTCATGTTGATAGCCCATTATGATGTATAAACCTCAAGTGCAAATAGCTTTTAGGGAAATTGGATTGCAGATGATAAAATCTCACCACTGAGTGTTATATCATGTGGTTCAGTAAATATGTATTCATATGTGAAATCGCTCACAATTAGGAATTTAAGTCTTGTAGAATCAGTACAAATTAGCTAGGCATTCCTTATATAAAATAAATTCCGTCAAATATTACTAGTAAATATAAGGGAAGAAACAAGAGATTTTGACCAAAAAATATTATAAAGTTTGATGACATTTACTAGTATATAAGAAACAGGTTATCTGTTAATGTAGACAGAAAATGAGAATATTGTTTATAAGCTTCTTTATTACAGTACAAAGCTCTATGTTTAGTGTAACATCTTTTATTTAAAGCACAATTGCCTTGTTATCTTGAATACAAAGATACTTGAGACTTGGGCTCGAGTCGTCTCTGAATGACTTTAATTCTCTTCATAAACAGTCTGTTTTTCTAAAAACAGAAATCCAATACCTCACAAGATCATTCAAAATGATTTAAGAATTGGATTAACTGCCAAGGTGCTCTCAGCCTGGGGGGCTGCCATTCTTCTCTCAAATACTTCTCACTGGTAATTATGGTCATCAGTGTTGAATACAATTTATATACTGCTGGGATGAAGGAAGGCAGAAATCATTGGGGGCCAAAATTCATTATAAATGGCCTAATCGTCTTGATCTTATTTAATTTGTACAGTTTCGCCCGAAGCATAGTCCATTAGAGACAAGATGGTGAATTGTTGAAAGGGCACCATAACCAGATGCTGAGCTGCTGAAAAAATGTTTTGCCTTGAAATTTGAAGATGGATTGTTCAGTTATGTCAAGGTAAGTCATAGATGGAAGTAATATGAGCCCTGACTGTGTGTATGTGTGTGTTCATTTGTGGAATTCAGGGATGAGATTTTTCTAGCTATGGGGGGGATTTCTGACTTTTTGGGAGCTAAAAAATAATTTGTCGAGGCAGCCCCCAAGACTCCACGCTATATTTTCCCACATTTTCACTAAATCGCAGTCCCTGAAATTTGTGGGTTAAGTCATCTAACAATTGAAATTTCTACCATCAGGAAGGTAGCTATTCTTCTGACCATTAATTGATATAAACCTGTATAAAATATATATTTTAAATACATATACTACTACAAAACAATTTATTTCATGAATGAGCTCTTAATGAAACTGCTGGTGTAAAAAATTCAATGAAAACATAAGCATTTGGTTCTGTGTAAGGACACTGAATATGACTGAATAAAAAAGATTACTAGTATTCAAATGCAGTTTTTATTGAGGCTCCAGCCTTGCTTTGAACATGATATATCAGCCAACTTAAGCACTTCCTCCAGGTCCTATCTGATGCTTAACAAACACTGATCAACTCTTGTAGATTTACAAAGGCCATACATTTCTTTTTACTTATCATCTGTGCCGCTTTTTTTATGTCTGAATCTCCAGTGTCACAATTGAGCTTGCTTGATCTAAGTACCTGTACTTCCCTAGAAGATAGGTGTGTTTAGGACTAGGTACTAAGTTTTATTTGCAATAACAAGGTGATTATACTGTACAGTTTTTTGTGTTTTTCACGAGATTTATACTAGTTCAAAAAAGTTTAATTGAAATTATCAAAAGTCCTTATTAGTTTTTCAGATGAGCACTCCACCCACTCTCTTATTGATATTAAATTTTTAAAAAGTAGAAATGAAGTTTTACAGATCTTTTCTAGCAGATGTGTAAAAAAAAAAGTGGTGTGTAGAGGAACTGTTTAGCCATTCTCTGTATCCAATTTTGTCAATGTTTGTGAAAATTACTTTAATCTTGTTTTTACTTGAATTTCGTTATTTTATTTTACAAAATTTGAAAGAAGTAATAATCATTGAATTTGAGCAATATTTGTTGTAATGGGTCAAATTGCTATTTCCTTATTGTGTTAACCTATTATCTGGAACTCAAAAGGGGTCTCTTAACGGGTAACCCACTTTGATGTGTAAACTGGCAAAAAGATTGTTTTTAAAAAACTTACTATGTTAGCAAGAAATACAATTTTCACCCAGGAGCTTAAATAAACAACCATGGCTAGAACAAAGTAAAACTGTAATTCAGACCAGGCTGTGTTTGTTACCTTTTGCTGTAATAATAACCGAAAATCCCAACTGGGAGTTATTACAGTCGAAAAGTGGGTGAGAGGCTGACGAAAAAATAAAAGAGGGGTGACGGAAAAGATCAAGAGCCTTGAAATAGTAATCCCTAATATAACATTGTTAGCATACCAACTTCATTCTTCTTAGCTGTGTAGTATTATGGATATTAGAAGCATGTATGTAATACAAATACTCTTCCCTCAAAGGAAGAATTCCCTCCAAAATATTATGTTGGCCCCACCTGATCCGGCATCGTCTTGTTCTGGGGACTCCCGAGCTCTAATATAAACCAGTCAGCCGTAAAAAGGAAAATAAATTGGATTGTTCAGCTTGTTAAATCATAACAAAACTTATTTTAGATGTTTATTTGCAAGTTCTGTTGAGCAGAAACAGTCATTCATGTGCAATATAAGCAGGTTTAATGGAAGTGGTTTGGGAGAGCCCTAGAAGCTAACCTGTGCATGAATTGCACAAGGGAGGGGTGAGACTGATAGAGACTTTAATCTCAAATTGCGGTGGACATCAAACAACATGCATTTCTTTAATAGTTAATGTAGTAATCAGTTCATAGTGAGGTCCTAAACTTCAGATTGTTGAACGACAAACACTGCCAGATCAAACGAACATGATATAAAGTAAGTTGATGCCCACACCAGGTAAGATACTTCAGGTAGATATATCCAGGTGAAAGAGGTATGTCATTTGAAGTGTAGAGCTTGATCAAAGGCACAGAATATATCTAGAATAGAAAGTTCTGTCTCAGTTATTTACATAGAACAAAAAATCAAAATTATTATTATTATTATTATTATTATTATTATTATTATTGCATTTATTTTTTATGTCTTTATCTGAATATAATATAAGTTATAGTTTTTCCATGTATTTGAAAATCTCAGGTGAGGTAAATTAGTGATATCAAAAGTTGATGAAAACTAACAAAAATATTATAAAAATAATCAAGTAAAAAGATTAAGTAATTGTCTCCTGTGAGTATTTAAAATTCTATATTTGATTGATGATTTCAAAAAATATTTAATATTTTATAGAATTCTATTACACTTGAACCAGCGTAAAAGAACATTGAATACTTTATGTTCTTGTTTTTTGCCAGAGAGGAACAAGTACAAACTGGTCATTTAACTCATAGGAATCAAGTTAACTACACTCCTATGTCTAAATTCTTGTCATTTATATATGTAATGTGCTATCAGTACATGAAAAAAGGACATTAAAGCACACAATCCTTCTATCATGGAGTATTAAGTAGTTTTGGAGACATAAATCTTTAAGGTTGGCATTTGGC